GTTTGCCCACATAAAATGTTACCGTTTAGGCACTTTTTCAATGGCTATGCAATTTTTAATGTGTGCGATCAATTACAAAGCTGAAAGGCCACGCATTAGCAGAGCCAGAAAACGGCACAGTTACAAGCAATAACGAGCTGGCAGCCCCCACCAGCCCCCACTTCTATGGAAGCAGTCCCCATAGACTGCATTCCCCACAGTCAAGCCAAACTGAACCACAAAAGTCAAGCCCCATGCACAAGTGCGTCTGTGTGAGTGTGTGGGTGAGGGTGTGCAAGTGTGTGAATGGATGATTTCCACTTTGCCCAGTGAGTCAGTCAGGCTGGCAGCCACAATCCTTCATTGTTGTTGCAGGCAGCAGCAGCAGCAGCAGCAGTAGCAGCAGGAGCAGTAGCAGGAGCAACAGCAGCAGAGCTGGCGATAAAATAAATTTGCATATGAATTGAGAATTAAGAACATTTTGCACATCGTCCTCCGCTTTAGCCCCTCCACCAGCGCCAACTCCTGCCTGCACCTGCCAACCAGTTGCCATTTTTGATTGGGTTGCCTTGGACGGGGCGATGTGTTGCTATTGTGGCTGCTGTTTGGCCTTTGAATTAGAATTCACACACACACCGACACATATAGTCGAAAGTGTGAATGGCTTATTTCCTTGCTGTAGCTGATGCTGTTGTTGTGGCTGCTGCTCCTGCTCTTTTGACCGCTTTTTGGCAATTTCCATTTTCATTTTAGCCCTTTTTGGCGCACAATTTTTACACGCTTTGCTCTTTGGCTGATAGAAATATATAAAAAAAACAACTCGTTAGCCTATTGAAATTGAAAATGTTTTTGGCTGATGCGATAAGAATGTGCAGGGGATTATAGTGTATATATATCTGTGTACATATACATATGTGTGTGTGTCTGTGTGGCATAACTTATTTATGGCCTGCAAAGTTATGGGTCACAATTGGGTAATTGCATCTCTGTTGATTTAAATAATTAAATTTCAATGCGGATAGATCCTTTTTTTTTTTTATAATCACAGCCAAAGTTTTAGTCTATATTATGATATATTGAATTAGTTTTGTTTATAATTTTATACGTGGATTTTTAAACAAATATTTACCAACAAAAATATATAAAAACCAATACATCATAAAAAGATTAGTCGTGGTGATGTTATCTATAATAATGAATTTGAATACGAATGTCAAGGATATATATTCTAGAAAAATATATTATAATAAGGATATTTAAACTTGCATATCATGTAAGAAACGTAAGACTACAAAAGAAATTTAGACCTCCATTAGGTTAAGGTTGAGATCTTTTTCACTAAGCCATTTGCTGCAGCAAATATTTATATTTTAATTGTAATCAAATAACGATAAACTATCAGTATATCAGAAATGGCTCGAGTGACTTGATAAAATATGTTGCGCATATGATTATAATTTTAATAACATTTAAATATTATTTACTAACATTCATCTTACAAGTTTGTGGTATTTGCTGTACATTATATTTATGTTATGTACATATACATTTTGGTATTCTTAAGTATATATTTTGCAATATATATATTTTCCTTACGTAGGCGAACAAGAAAAGAAAGTGGACTGTTTTTTTGAAATGCCCATAGAGACTTGAAATTTAGAATACAAAAAAAAAAAAAAAAGAAGAAAACATGAAGATATGCCTGGATTGTCGGCTTAACGCCATATCTTGTAATAGTGTCAGACATAAATAATTACAAATTTGTCGGTTTCAATAGTCAATATATAGCGAGATTCAAATAAATATATTGTATATTATCAAACTACAATAAAATATTCACCTTTCATAGTGAAATTTATGTTTGTCGAGTGAGGGAGGGAGGGAGGTACAGAGGGAGAGACGTGCGAATCCATTGATTTTGCATGCGGCATTCGCTCACCTCTGGCTATACAAATTGCATTTACAAACAATTAGACAAGTAAAACTCACGTACAAATACCAGGTGAGAGGTGCAAGGCCCTCGGGCTTATGCCGAACGGTAACGTCAGTGCTAACGGTAACCGGCACGTGGTGTGCGGGCAACGGGTCGGAGCAACCCAAACAATTGGACCCCTTGTTTTATTGTGGGACATTTGTGAAACTTTCGACATGCTCATAAAATTGCTCGTTTAACTCATTTAACTTTTGCGTTCTTTTTCTTTCGCTTTTTCTTTATTTCTCTCACATCTACCCATTAAAAGTGCGCTAAAGGGGGTATAAATACATTTGCATATGCAACATACAAACTCAGGTAGTGGAGCAACAGAGAGCATTTCAGTTTTCATAAAATACAAAACGTATCTGTACGGGTCGATCTGTCAGTTTGCACGAAGATGGATGGATCTTGAGAGCTGTTGAAATATATTTAAATACACGGAGATAATGATAAATCTTAATATGTTTTCTCTTATGGCTCAACTCGTTAAACTCGTAGCAAACAAGCAATGTTGCCAGAGAGATTTGTTTAGTTTTATCAAAGATTTCAGTTTCATAATAATAAATGTTGATATGTTTCTTTTAAATATTCCCTTAAAGAGACGTCTATTTAGATTTACAAATACATAATATTTATGATATTTATTTATTTATTTTAATATATTTATAATATTTGTATATTTTCGAGTATCTAGTATTTAGTATAAAATGTTAGTTTTGAGTAAAAAAAAACGTAGTTTTCGGGTTATCCCTTATCAACAATATAATCATATCATATACATATTCGAGACTACCTAATAGTATTAATTTCGACCACTTAGTTTAAATCAAATTGGGAAAGAAACTATTTAATTTAATTTAAATATTCTATATATTACAAATATACATAGATATTATAAAGAATAGTTTGTACATATACAAAAAGCTTATTATTACCATTATTCTCCTAATTTTAACATGACGAAATTCTGAAAGAGCTTTTCCTAAACAGTTTTGAATTACAAACAATTTTTGAATCACCGATGACTGGGTAGCTTCTACTCAGCCACTCTCGACTTTACAAGTTCTTCTTTATTATTTTTTTTAGTTTTTTTTTTTTAGAAAGTTTGCATAAATTGTTACGAAAAATGAAAAGAACGAAGTTAATAATGCCAGAAGGCATTTGGCAGTGGCGAACTCCAAGCTCCTGCTTGGTATATAGAGCAGGATTTCGGCTGGGCGACAATGAAAATAATTCAATTAAAACACTTTTCCACTTTGCGCCCTCGCATGCCAAGTTACAATAACGTTCAACAAAATTAACACATAGAGCAAGCTTTCCCCCTTCCCCCTCGGGCTCAGCCCTTTGCCCCATCGTCCCTTCGTCCGACCTTCATGTGTGCATTGCCCGCGGGCGTTTTGCATAAAGTTTACCAGAACGCGGTTGCCTTTCGTGTGGTCAAAGTTTTGGGCGGCCAGGCTGTGCCCTCTCGGCGACATCTATGCCATGTTTACTTTGGTACTTAGCCATTGTTGTTCTGGCCTAGCTGTTGCTTAAAGCCGCAAAGTAGCTTTGGTGCCAGAAAATTTAAATTCAACCCCGGCTAAGCCCCACAAAACAATCCTACAGCAGAGCCCTGTTTCAGTTTCAGTTTCTGGTTTCTCTATCTCTATCTTTCTCTCTATCTCTGTCTCTGTCCGTGTCCGTGTCTGTGGTTAGCTGGTGTTTTGTGTATTATTTTAAGATTTGATTGGTTGGGCTGCAGTCATGTTTGGTGTTCGTGTTGGCGTTGGCTTTAGCCTGTCCCTGTTTCTGCCCCTGGTCGTGTTCTTCCATTAAGCCATTTGCATTTTCATTGCCCATTGTCGAGCTGCCGTCATTCGAAACTGATTAGCATTTGAATATGATAAACTGAAAGAATGATACATGCAGCAAGGGAGATTGTTGCCCAAAGTTAGGATATACTAGCCTAGCATCCAACATAGTCTCTATGATAGGTTGTTTAATCAACCCTACTGTCTTCTGTGTAGATGCTTATGTGCTATACACAAATCAGGCCATGAGCCTAGGGCTCAAATAAAAACTTAACTCGTTTAATTGGCCACTTCAAAGCCAAAAGCCCATGCGGCAATTTGAACAAAATATTTCCTTCATTTTTATGCGCATTTAACCCTTTAATGCAGACACATGGCCACCATTTGCAGCATTTTAAGTCCATTAAAAATTGTTTTTCCATAATTTTTTACACCGCATTCAAGCGCAGGGCCCAAAACATTCATAGCGCATCGACTGTTTCACTAGCCTCCATCCAGCGCCGTTGTCGCTGTCGCTCGTTAAAAATCAATCCCCAAACGTCGAGCCCCCCTTTATGTCGTCCGCCCACTTAGGACGACCGCATGGAATGCGCATTCAGGCTGGGATCCAAATTGAGAATCGACTATATTGGCGGATTTAAAGGAGGAGTCAGCAGGGAGTGGCAGGGGGCGGCAGGGGAAGCAGGTCGGTCCAGCGTGTTGTTGCGAAGGTGTCGCTGACTCTGCCCCGTCGCGGTCAATATGCGAGACTATAAGTCTATATAAGCGCCGCCACAGCAGCCATGTAGCTGATATCTTTTGCTAGCATATCTCTGTGTGTGTTAGTGTCTGTGTATGCGTGTGTCATGTGTCATGTCCATGTGTGCACGTGTGTGTGTGTGTGAGTGTGTGTGAGTGTGTGGGCGTGTGGTTGTGTGCGCGTATGTTGCTGTTGTGAATATATGGGAATTTGTTTTGTCATATCTTTTCGGTTGGTTTTTTTCTCTCTTTCTCCCGAATCGAGCGCTACCAAATAGAGTTGTTACGAACTTGAATAGCCTTTGGTCACTGTTGTCATTCAATTGCATTTATTTATATCACTTACAAATATTTAAATTGACTGAAGCGACCTAGCCTAATATGTGAGTGAGCATATGTTTTAATATTTAAATAAAACATATACTAGAATGAATTATAATCATTCTCTTTTATGGTCAATAATAGTACTTTTTTTTTTTTTTTAATTCACTATTTCATTCACTATTGTATGTATATCATATAAATATATTTCGAGTATATTCCCGCAAATTTATAAATGATTAATTGTAATGAGACTCTAGCTCTCTCGCCTTGAGAAGATGTAATATGCATTTGCTGAGATTAAAAATAAATAATTTATATTATATGAAGAGAAGAAGTTATATAAGTTAATAAATAAATAAATAATTATATATATAAGTAAATTCTATTCGTTTCTTGTCTATTACTGGATAATAATACCATACTTACTCAAATTATCTTATCACAAGATTCTTATGTAATTTGTTTCGCTGTTCTCTCTATGGCTAGAATGTTCTGCTGCTGATCGCTAAGTAAAGTCGATTACCAAGTGTAGATGCATCAGTATTTGGCGTGGCCGAATGATTTTGCACTGACGTGCAGTGAAGCGCAACATCCAATCTACGTAGGGCTATAGATTTGCCTATGACCGTGGCTCTGTGAGTCCGGCCCGAAAAAGTGTCCAATGTAACGCCACAACAAAGAACGTTAATTGACGCCAAAATGCTGCAAACAAAAAACAAAAACCGCTTGCAAAATTCAGAAAAAAGAAACGGGGAAGGCAGGGGTAAAAAACGAAAATCAGACGGAAAACAAATAAAAAAAAAAAAACGAAGCATGTGTAAAAAGAATTTGTCCAGTTGGACACATTCTGTAACAGGCGATACGAGCGGCGATAGCGCCAAGCCGCTTTGGGGCTGTCTTGGCTGCACAATTTAAATTCAGCTCGGACTATCGCCCCAAGTGGCTTGATTAACCCAAACGATAGGCGGGGCAGGTCCTTGTGAGTGGGCGTTGTTGAATCAGCACACGTGATTAATGGCTTTTAATTATGTCAGAGCGCGACGGCAGGATCGAGCGATCCTGGACTGTTGGCTATGGACTGTGGGATGTGGGATGTGGGCGGTGCGCTGTGTGCAGCGGTATGCCAGTTAACCGTTTGACATTAAAAAATTGACACCGTTCGGGGTGAAATGTTGCCGACATCTATGGCGTTCCGCCTGACAACTGTCTGGCACACGTAACCGAGTTAAAGTTCTCGCTGCCCTGCCGCTCGCATTTGCGGAAGCACACGATACGAGGGAGCAGGCCACGGCCAGAACATGGGCAGGGTACGGGCCTGGCAGGACACGGCAGAGCCCGGTAGAGCACAAGCAAATTTCGAGCACGGACTTCGTTGGGCAGTTGCACGTCGGGCATTCGTTGCCAGCCGTGATTGTGTGTGGGCGTTTGTCTCGCTTGTCGCATTTAATGAAAGCGTCATAAATTATGTTGCAGTTGACGAAAGCGACCAGAGCCAGGCGAGCACCGACTGCGAGAGGGTATTGTACTTAGCATATGCACGTGGGTAACATATGTGCCCGAAGTCGGACGACTTGCTAAATGGAGTTTGCGCTTGAAGTAATGTTAAAAAGCTGACAACTCAAGCTGAAAATGTAACGAATATTTATGAGGTGACGGTGTTGTGGTATTTCATTCATATTTTTATTGCGCTGCATGTATCATCGCGCACCTATAGCAGAACATGAACCAAGTAGCTCATGTATATCGTAAAGAATAATATTAGAATGTTAGTTAAGCAATCAGTTTTCGAGTTACGTTTTAGGACGAGCTCCGAGAGCGTTGCATTCGCCGAATACCTCATTGAAGACGCGCTGTATGTTATGGATCCCATTTTGACCAGCTTTCCATTTGCATCTTCGCCTGGTAAATCTGTCAGACGCTGAGGTAAAAACAGTACTATGTCCTTCTTTGCTTCCTTTGTTCTTCTGAAGGCGGGCAGAGACACCAACGCATTCGACGAGGGGCACCCAAGGCAGAACAGAATGAAAAGCAGCTGCCGCACTAACAGCATAATTGCTCTCCATGCGGCAACTGTCTCAGATCAACTGCTTTTTATTTAACTCGCGCAGAGATCTCCCAGCAGAGCATCTGCTTATCTTCTCTCTTCAGAGGCTTTCGATTTGACCAAAAGATCTGGAAACTGAGAAGTTTGTTTAGGGAACAGCTGTTTCGAAATGCGCTCTGTGCTATCTTACCTAAATTCGTCACGTTCTCAGCGCGATGTTTTGAAATAGTACCTTCTGTCTGGAACAGCAGCTCAATATAGATAATGAATTTATTTGGACAGTTGAATATTTGTCTGTCTTGTCATCTATGCATGTACATATGTATGTATTTGGACAGCTTATGGAATGTGTTTGTTGGATAGTTCGAACTTCGAATGCTTTGCAAGCTTTTAAATCTATCGATAGAGATATCGATAATGTCGATGGGGGAAACTATCGATGGTGTTGGAAGTTGCAGCTCTAGTCTGCTACTCTCATTGGAAAAGCTCGAGAAATGTACATATGCATGTATGTAATACATACATACATACTATGTATGTATGAATGTATTCGATTATAATTGGAATACTTCCATATTTCATTTATATCTCACCATGCATTTGAAATGGAAATATACATTCATATTCATTTCCAATTCATATTAAAATAAACTATCGATGGTGTTGCAACTCTAGTCACTAAATCTCATATTCGATAGGAATTGGAAAACTTCCATCGTTCTCCTCACAGACAGGAAAATATACGCCCTTTATCCATTTGCAATGGGTATGAGAAAAAATGCAAAGTTTTCAATAAAAGTTGAGAAAATATTGTCGTAGTTGGGCGTGGCGAAGGGCTTACACACATCCACCCGAACGACATTCAGACAGAGAGACGAGAGTTTCTGTGTAGCAAATCAAATAATTATAAAAGTTGAGCAACAAGCCGAAGCCTAGCCTTTGGCAATGTTTGGCCAAAAACTTGAGGCACACGAACAAACTTTACTCAAAGGTGCAGGCAAAACTTTCGCCAGCCAACTAGCAAAAATTCATTTAGGCGCATTTAGGCGGCTGTTAGGTAAAGGGCCGACCGAGCCTTGCTTAGCTGCTGCTGCTGTTCCTGTTCCTGTTGCTGCTGCAATATGCCGAAACATTTTTAAAGCTCAACTGCAATTTAAGCAGACAAATCATATTTTGGACACAAATTTTGTGCAGCCTCAGCGACGCCGGCGAAAGTTTTGCCCAGCAGCGTTGGCAAAAAAGTTTTGACGACGCCGCTGCCTTCGCCACCGTCGACGCCTCGGCCGGAACAGGCTTCCTGTGTGGCTCTGGGTCTGCCGTTCTCTCAATCCTGTCTGCCAATTCGAGTTATAGAACTCCAGCGAAGCGTGTGAAATGCGCTACAGCCTTGGAACAGCTACGCTTTGATGGATTTGCAGCTCGCAACGAGAACGCAGCGAGCCGAGAACTGCGAGTCAATGTTCAGCTCATGACCACTGCACAACTTTTCACACACTTTGCTTTTTAATTTCGTCATATTTTTATTTCTGTACATGAACTAAACTTAAGCACTATTGCGACTCAAAACGCATTTCCAGCCTATGCGTTTTTCTTAGCCGCGTCTATTCACCTGCCTTAGAGGCTTTGGCCTCCTTTTGAACTTGTTCGGCCTCTGTTTAGGCCTAAACCTTAGCTTAGGCCTCCTGTTTGGCCTTTTGGGTCTGTTCTTGATCGGCCTTGGACGGTTCTTTGACCCGAATTTAGCTCCATGGTCGGGATTGGAGGGTGTCAAAGGACTTGCTGCCTCATTGGAATCTTCTTCGATATCTTTAATTGCTTGATCGAATTTTTCATTCATAATTTCGGGCAATTGATCGAATTTTTCATTCATAATTTCGGGCAATTGATCGAATTTTTCATTCATAATTTCGGGCAATTTATCTTGAGAATGTTAATCATTATTACACATTTAACTTCCTTGCGAGAACTGACAGCCTTACCATCGTCTTCCTTCGAGCCAAAATTGTCTTCATAGTCATCATTGTCATCATAATCATCATACTCCTCGCAACTAGCATCCTGAGTCAAAAGCAGGACACCTGAAAGCCCAAGTAGCAGCAGCAGTGATAATCTCATTGCAAAATTTATAATTACTTATTGTTAGTGGAGTTGCTTATATATGAAATTGTGTTCAAATATCTTAAGAAACAGCTGGTTTGCTCAAGTGTTCAATTACAACGATTTATGTCTTGTACTCTTGAAAATGTAGGTCATAGTAGGCTGTGAGGGTAGAGACATTAATCTTGTAATGTTTATGCTATAGAATCTTTTCTGTGTGTCTGTAAACGAGCATCGATCTTACAAACCTTGATTTGGAGGTTTTCAGATTATTATTATTTTTTTTAAATTAAAGAAATTTGTTTAGATTATTTTATGTCTTATAGGTCTCATGGTACATAATAGCTTCCATAAATGACTCTAAATTGCTATGCTATAGACTGATGAAGTATTCCGTTTAATTTCTGTATAATAGCCATGAATATGAATATCTTTATGCTCGGAATCTTTCAATGTCTACAAAGTTTGTTCAAAAATCTTTTTCAATCCTCTCTTACATACATACAATCATCAATTGCATTATACGATTTTTTTTCAAATTGGGGGCGAATGGGGCTTGGTATCCAAAATCTGTAAATTTTTTTTATTCATCAACTGTAAATACTCAGTAAAACTGGGGTCTACAGGTTTAAAAGTGTTGAAATTTGGCTGAAAAAACAAAATCAAACTTTCGATTATTCTCGATAATAAAAGTTATCGGATGAGTTATCGAAAAAATATGATAAACTTGTGCTGCATATGGTATACACAAGTCTACATGCCTGTTACATACTTGTCACAAAACTATTGTACCCCGATTTCCCCATATGGGGAATGGTATCAATGGGTTCAGGGTATAAAAAGATTAAATTATAGTTTTATATAAATCGATAGATTACTTATATATAGAATTATTTAGCTGCAATGTATTCTAGAATATTTTCATTTATGAATATCCTACGACCTGAGAAAGTCCAAAGTCAGCCAGTCTAGCGCATGTTGCATGTCTTTTCAGTCAATTCCTAATATTGGGTCAAAATTTGCATTGCATTAGCGTTAAGTTTTATTAAAATAAAACCAAATTAGAGTAAATAAACATATTGTTGGTCTACTTATAATATTTAGCTACATCCATTGTTTAAATTTATTGTTTGAGTTTTTAATCCGTCGATTTTAGTCCCTTCTGAAGTCGTTTAGTTAATTACATTGTATATGCAAATAGAAGCATGTTCCGAATATAGGGAATCTCCGAAAAAATTCCTAACTAGATAGTCGCATTTGATGTGCTCAAGTGCAGAGCTTGAGCTCAACACCTTAATAATATTCTGCAAGTCTTTGCATACTTGAGAGCACATTGTCAGTGCATTAAGTATATCTATTGAGGAGCAACAGCAACATCCCGGCCCATTACAAAGCCGCATTGGCAGCACGTATTCAACTTGGATACACATGAGGGAGACGTGTGGTGGGTTGGTGGGTGAGTGCTGGATTTCAATCAAGCAGCAGACAATTGGCCCGCTGCTGGCTCTCCAAGGACTTTATTATGCCAAGGATAGCGCGTTTTTAGAGCGCGCTTAAAAATGCTTTTCTTGTAGCAGCCCAGCCAAGCAGCAATCAAATCAAATAAAATATTCATTTTGATCTTTGAACTGTGCATAAATATGCAACCGCCAACTGCCACACAGATTTGCCAGCACATAAAAATATATAAAAATGCGGTTTGGTGCCGCACTTTATCATCATCCTGGCAAGGACGACGACGACGTCGACAGTGAGGACGTCAACGACAACGCGTCGTCAATATCCTTGTAACAAGGCAAAAATAACAAAAAAGGAAAAAAAAAGAAATAAGAAAATTGAATACGGGAAAAAGAAACGACGCTGAATGAATGAGTATAAAAATCGTATCCTTCCTAGTGCCAGCGCTCATTTCTTTTTCTCTCGATTCTCGTTTTGATTTCGTGGAGCGAATTGATATGAATAGCTGGGACTTAGGATTAGGGTTAAGTGATTTACTCGAGACACTGACATTCTAAAGCGCAAATTGTGGCCCCTAAGGAATGCTTTGTGCTTGCTAATTGTTCGTCGATTGAAGCTTCATCCATGAGTATAGGAAGTCTACCTCGCCAAACTTAATTTCAGCCTAATGCAATCCACTTACAATTGCTTTATCAGATTTACTTGCTGCGAAATTGCATTTCCAAGCAACTTCAGCTGCAGACCGGCCAGTAAAAAATGCCCTCAGCCATACGGAAAAGGCAAGGCAGGCCAACGTCTCTGAGCAGACGGGGACAACCTTATTGTTGAAATATTTATTTTTCTGTCCTGCCGGCTGGCTGCTCGTCCCATTGTCCTGCCGTAGACTGACTCAATCTGCCATCAATGCTAACTCTAAATATAATACCACAAGAAAAGAAGAAAAAGTATAAGAAGAAGAACAAGAAGAAGGATACTTACCTTCATCTGCCCTCGGATTTGCCATGTTTATCAGCCGTTTACCAGCATCGTTGACTTTTGAATATGTTTCCTGTGGGGCGGAGTTTGTTAGGGCGACTCCCTGTGCTTGACTGCGCATTAAACTGAGCTTTCGATATGATTTTGGTTTGACAAAAACTTAAACGAAACTCTTGCTAAACAGTTGGCAAATTATGTTCATTAATTTATACAACTTTCCTTAGGTATGATGATGTTGAAGCGTAGTAGAAGGAAACTACGTATCAAGTCAGACTGAGGCAAAAGCTAATTAAAATGTTACTATATGCATTTTATAAGATTGATTGAGATTTTAACGATAAAAAATATAAGTGATACAAAAAATAACACTGTTAGAAATCCTGCAAATCGTAGATTATACTTTGTTGAATTAAACTTGGTTACAAGAAATATCGTTGTCTATGCTTCCTCTCTCAGAGATCACATCAGCAAAGTTTCGTTTGAAGTAAAAATCTAAATGATTTCCACTTTTTTACTACGCGAATTAGTGCGAGAAATCAGAGGAGGATTTAAGTCAGAAAATACCAATCTAGCTGCCTTGTACAGGGTCCGGGTGAATATGTTTATTTTAAAATTTAGCTAAATTTGTTGGCAGTCAATCAAGCACTGCCTCATAGATATGCTGTGCGGGCAGCGGATTAGAAGAGGCACGCCTGAGAAGAGCTTTAATTGTTACTCTCTACCGCAACATTGAGCTGGCATTGTTACGGACTTAAATGGGATTTGAAAAGTGCAAAAAACAAAAGATTTATAGGCTTGCACAAGCCCCGAATAGAAATGTCGTAACCTGCTCCTGCTCCTGCTCTCAGGTTGTTGCTGGGCTGACGCACATAATCAACTAATTCAATAATCCAACATGGGGTCCGATGGCCTAGGAGTCGAAGCAAAATAACATGCGACACTGTGATTTATATCCAGCGGGTGCGAAATACAACAAAACATTTCCTGTACATTTCAGTTGGGCTAAGAGTACTACTTGTACTCGTATCCTTGTTGCAACAACTTAATGCGCAAAAACAAACAAAAATGCGATGGACAGGAGAAGAAGAAGAAGCAGCAGCAGAAGTGTTTGACCAAGGGCACTGCCAAAACCTACTAGAGAGAAATGTTACGTTGGACTTCCTTCTTTATAGAGGCCGGAGCAGAAATTGTTTAGCATGTCGTTTGCTATTCAAACAATTTGCATATCCTTTTAGTGCAGCGAGCGTACTTAAGAAACAACAAGCATCAACAGCACCAACAACAGCAACAATAAAACTCCTGAGCAGGCATACGAGCACGACAGCGAACCGAAATCCAATGTCAGCTCAAGAATTTGCAGGCTATGGTGAGCTAAAGTGTACAAAAAATATTGCAGACGGTTATAACCAACTGCGCTATACTCTGGCAGACAGAATATCTTACGTTCCTTCTTACTGTATGGTATATTCGCTCTTGCTGGATAGCTAGAAAAGTGCTTTGATAATCCTCTAACGATGAAGCACTAAACAAAACCTAAACTCTCTCTGCACCCTGCCTAGCGAGCATTCCGAACAAAAAAGAAACTAACGTCGAATTTTATTTAACACGTACGAGGCGGTCAAGGAATGTGATGCTTAAATGCCACAGGGGCAAGGCGCAACAGGGGCAACGTTTTAAAGCATTGAAGTGAAAAGTGAATGGAGGCGTCTCTCAGAGCTTCGCCAATGTCGCCATACTTGCGTCCTTGTCCAGTTACCAGTTGCCAGTTGCCAGCCATAATATTTATGCGCAGACGTTGCTCAATAAGCTGCTCAAGGATTTATTAGCCAAATGGACAGATTTGACTGCCTGGCTGGCTGTGCGGCTGTGCGGCTGTACGGCTGTGTGCCTTTGCCATATGTGAAGGCTGTCGCTAGTCCAACAGTGGCCGTGGTCCATGCCATGTGTTGCCTTTCAATGCACAGAAAGAAATCGCAGACGAGGTAAGCTTTTCCTTTTCAATTTAAATTCGTATTGGTATCTGAAATGTTATCAGATCTAATATGTATGTATACTGCAAATAATGCCTGTAGAACTTTCTACACTGACTACTTTCTGATTTATTTAAATCAATATTTAAGTTAATAATTAAAAATATAATTGCAATATAAATGATTAGAAATATATTAAAAATTATATTTGATTATAATGTTCAAAGTACTTAAATACCTTATATGGGAATTACGTTATCTTCTGAAAAAGAACATGCTCTTTACAAGTCGGAGAAGTTTTCTAATCTAAATTCCCAGATTTAATTATAAACTAAATTGTTGAAGACAGCTTTATGTAAGGATAAGTCTAGGGATATTTGTGCTAATATGTAAATGAATACGTATTATCTCTATTAAGTTATTGTGTTATCGAAATGAACGAAATATAATTTTGCCAACGCGTTTGCGTTCAAAATGTAAGAAATGTCGTGCAGTGTAGGAACTTTAACGCCAAATTAGAGATTTTCATTGTTTGATACTCAACAAATAATATATATGTATGTATATCGAATGGACTTCCAGACTTTTAGCCAACTGTTTGATGAATGCTTTCAGAATCTTTGCATTGAATGGCAATTTTTCTAGATTTACAACTAGCAACTGAATGCAAGCGTTAGCTAAGCAGTTGTCCAACCCCAACTCCAAAAGGATACGCGTGTGTTTGTGTCAGTGTGTGTGTGTGACAGAATAAATATGCGGAGCAAAGGGACCCAGTAGAACAAAGACATTTTCTACACTGCAGCATAAGCCCTTTTTCAGTATCCGCGTTTAATGGAGGTTGAATAGTCGCTGGATTGAACTATTCAATTTTTACGATAGCGTTTACCAACTAGTTGCTGTAAGGAAGCATGACGATTGAAATACTGTATTATATTGAAATATTAAAATTGCGCAGAAGGTACATAATACAATTGGGATTTATATGAGCCAAAACGATGACGAATATTATGTATTTAATTTAAACAAGTAAGAAAGCTCTAGTCGAGACTGCTCGACTAGGAGATACCCTGAACCCTCTAAGCTGATATTCCACTCATTCTGCAGTCATTTTATGCACACATGCATACACACGCACGTATAATCATGCGCTCTGCTGACTGCGCAGTTAGCAGCGACAGCGCTTGGGCTGCGCTGCAGTGTGGGCATTATTATGAGATTTTATTTGTTGAATAATTTCATTATTCTTAATGAAACTTACAGAGCGTAATCATATGGTAAATATGTGTGTACGTTCCAAAGAACAGGTCTCTAGTACTTGAAATGCGTTTTTTACAAATTGGGGAGATGGGGGCGTGGTATCCAAAATCTGTAAATTACAAAATCTTCGTATCGATCAACTGTATATACATATAAATCTGAAGTTTCTTGGTCCAAAAGTGTTCAAATAAGGCTGAAAAAACGAAATCAATTTTTCGATTATTCTCGATAAAAAAGTTATCGGATGAGCTATCGAAAAATATGGTTTGGTATTAGTTATTAGAATCATGTAAATGGAGGCTTCTCATTAGCAATAATGAGGCGGACTGAGTGGGCAATGTTAAGAAAAAGTGTTATACTTTAAGCTGTTTGGGTACCGACCGAAGTTTGCAAAGACATCGCGATTAAACCGGCTCTCGGTTACAGTCAACGTGATATGTATTCGAAATGAGTCGATTTAATTATTCAATTAAAAACGGTCACATTTCTCACAGCCTTCGCATCGACTTCTGTAGGTCAGAGCTACTAGGAATGTACAGCTGGAACATTATTTTGACATTAAAAAATTGAAAGATTAACATGGCTCAAACTCATTAGTGACATTATTTTGGTTTTATTTATATTGATGTTAGAGGCGTTAGTTAGTTATTTCATATAAAATTCACTGTCTGATAAATGTATTCCATCAAGCAGCTCGTCAAGGCAATATTGATTATAGTTTATTTATTGGAAATTATGCTTTGTGGGATAGCTCATGGTATAGTTTCCCGACTCTATCATAAAGCAGCGATAATGTATTGCGCCCTAGGAGTCTTTGAGGTTGGGTAGAGTAGTTGTAGTGATTTATTTTAGCTTCAAGAAAATCAAAATTGATATGATTCTTTAAAGAAAAATTATCTTAATTCAGGTACAACCTGAACCTTTTTATACTCATTCACGAAAGTGAATTAGTATATTGGTTTTGTGCATTGTCCGTCTTGCTGTCTGTCCGTCTGTCCGTATGAACGCAGTATATTTCGGCGCTATTGAAGGTAGAGAAATTTGGAACACATACTCGTGTATATCTCCGAATTATAATGTTCCCGATGCGCTCATTAGGGGCGTGGCCCCTAATGAGACATTATTGATGCTAGAGACCTCAAATTTTATATATATACTCGGGCTGACCACCCAAGACCAAAAAGCTTCGTCGGATATATGTTCGCCCACAGGGGGCGTGGCAAACCGCATAAGTTTAGAAGCTAGAAGCTTCAAATTTGGATAGGTACCGTTATCTCGATCTAAGAACTGACCAAAAATGAGGTGTCTACGCCTAGTAGGGGCGTGGCAAATTGGCATAAACTGAATTTTCTGCAGTATTAGAGCGAAACATAGCTACTAAATTGCTGATGGGATGTGAATGAGTATTCCGCAGTCGGTAACGCCCGACTGCAACGTTCTTACTTGTTTTTGTTTTGTTTTTTTTTGTAATACTTAACCCATAAACAATAATACCATATAAATTGTTATATCCTCGAAAACAAGTATTTTCAAAGTAGACGTACTTGATAATTTTAAAACTTAAGTTTTAAATGTTGTGTATAAAGTATAATTTTCTCTATAACCACATTTCCACAAAAGATTAGACACATAATCATTCGATTAAAAATTTGTATTCGTTTGCTTTCGCGGAACATTTGATAAGTTAATCAATCAAATAGTTAGGAAAAAAAAACTTGAAACAAAAAATCATGTCACATGTCAATTATTCGCCAATTGAATTGAATAATTGATTTCGTCTGACTTTCTGAAACAGCTTAGTAGCAGCATTTATTTGCATTTGTATGAAATATGTTATTACTCGAATGACTCAATATATCAATACATACATACAGATATTTATTTACTACAATTCGACTAGGCGCTACCATAATACGAAATAAATAATTTCTGTTTTTCCCAGGACATGATAGGATTTAATGTATTTTTGTTTGTTTTTGTTTTTTTTTTTTTTTTTTAATATAATTAAATAATCAAAGATCCGAACATATCAAGCTGAGATAGACCTGCGCTTACTTTAATACTCGTTCATCAAGCGGGTAAAATTCATTGCTTCGCTTCATGAACAAGTTTAATAGGTTTAAACAGGGTGTTTACAACTCTGTTTTATATGTATACCCTGAACCCATTGAAAATGGGAAATCAGGGTATAATGGTTTTGTTAAATGTATGGAATAGGCAGAAGCGGAGTGGATTTAGCCCTGTCCGTCTGTCTGTCCGTCCGTATGTATGAACGCGTCGATTCCAGAAGATATAAGAGCTAGATACTTGAAATATCGAGTTTTGCTTTAAATATCGATAGCTTGCCCCGTTATTTTGTTATTAATTAAAAACATTATCGAAAACCAGTAATAAATATATATCTCCGACATCTTTAAAGCTAGAGTCACCAAATTTTTAATGTAAATTTATATGTACCTTATGGAGTTTCGATTTTTGTCAAAGTTTACCCCCATCCCAAATTCACCCCCTCACCCACATATTTGTAAAAGGCGTATTTCAAATACTAGAGACTTGTGCTTTCGCACATACATGCATATCTATGTTATATTCATAATCTGAAACTTTTATGAAGATAGTCTATCCACAAGAAGAAGTTATTAAATAATTAAGTTCCCATAGTACGCCACCACTGCAATGCGTGGTTATGCCTGCGTGCGTGTGGCTGTGTGTGTGTGTGCATGTGCAAATAATTATTGAAATATCAGTTGCTCAAAGGGCTCAGGGGATCTCGTAGTCGAGCAGTCTCCACTAGAGCTTTCTTACTTGTTTATATTATATATTTGTTTGCATATAGTACATAAATGTATCTATATATGTATATGGTAACTCAGTACCAGAATCAATATAAAAAGGGTTGAAACAGTTTATTGAGGAACGACTATTCGACATGTTATCAAGTAGTTTTGTTCTGTTTACAGCAATAGCACTTGTGGGATTAATAAACAACATTTTGGTGCATATAGAAAAACTTATTTCACTTCAACTGGAAAGAAAAATAACAAATCTATTGGCAGGCATCCAAACCGTTTTTGAGGAAAGGGAGCTGCACATTCAATCGCGATGTATTTTCAAACTCATCTTTGCGAATTGTCGATGGTAAGCTTAGCATCGATATACAGCTTAAAGGCGTAGTGGCTGAAGGAGCAAGGGGTCACCTGAAATTTGAATTTCGTAAGCCTAGAAGCCCATCATATCAGCGCCTATTTGAGCACGATATCGACTACTGTGTAGTACTCAAAGGATCCCAGGATACGATATATCGCCGGCTGTTCATCAGCACTCTCAGGTTTGGAAACTTCTCCAGGACTTGCCCCATAAAGTCGGGCTACTACTATTTGCACGGATGGAAAATGTATGAAAATCAGGTGCCTACGTTTTTTTTAATGGGAGATTATCGGGTTGCCGGAACTTTTTACTATGGAAAGCACTGGGGAAAAATAAGCAAATCATTGATAGAGTGTACAGTTGAAGCAGAGCTAACCTAAAATTTTATTTTATAAAACAAAATATGTAATAATTGTTAATAAAAACAAGTAAGAACGCTGCATCTTAGGAGCTCAGTTTAGGTCTAATACTGTAGAAAATGAATGCTTTCGTTTAAAGAAATGTGAAAATTACACGGTATTTATACAACTGTATCTCCTAGAGTTTTTAAGCTATAACGTTAAAAAATTAAATATTTAAACCCACTAGGGGCATGGCAATCGGACCTGAAGATATAGTGATTTTCTAAATTCTGCTATATTTTGGGCAGTATTGACGCTAGAGACCTTAAATATGATATGATGTTAGCACTTTATAAATCGGAGATATACACGAGTGTGTGTTCCGAATTTCAAGTCTTAAACTGTATTCATACGGACAGGCGGACGGACATTGCACAAAACCAACTCACTCATTTCTTTTTCGTGAATGAGTATAAAAGTAAAAAATGTTATTAATCACTTTTTCGATCATCATTTGAGAGATTTTCTTCATCGGATCAATTGTTGTGACCCAAATGATGTGGACAACTTTAACATATGTACATAAAATTTATTAATCAATGTGACTCATTATAAATCTCATTAGCAACAAATATCACTGAAGCTCATAAAACATTCATAATTACCTTGGCACATAGAGTCTGACTATAAAAAGTAATTTAGTGTAAAAAATAAACACTTCGACCGGCTTGCTCATTGTCCGAAAATCATTTCAATGTCGTGATTTATATAACAATGTACGTATTTCATATTAACGGTATTTCGCTTCTCTTGCTGCTGTTTTTTGACCGACTGTCAGTCGTTAAAGCTGTGAGTCTCCACTAAATACTTTGTCAAATCAAATAATTTACTTGCTATTAAGTCTAGCGTGATCATCCAGGCCGGAGAGTCTAAGTACAGCCATAACTATTTTGAAAACTTTAACATGAGCATCATCAATAACACGCTAAATCTGGACATGATGATCAGAAAGCCTTTAACGCATGGACTCAAAATGCGCGTTGACTTTTCCATCAGCCTAGGCAAATCGAAGCACTACCAAAGCGTCTTCGCCAATATAGTAGACGTTTGCGGCGTTGTGTCAGCCATACATAATAATATATTCAAGACCTGGTTCCAGAGCATGTTGGAGCATGGCAACTTTATGTACAACTGCCCCGTGACCGAGGGCCATTACTTTCTGCGGAACTGGAGGATGGAAGCCCACATGGTGCCTCAGTATTTATATGCGGGCGACTATCGTGTCAATTGCCACATGTTCTTCGGGAAACTAAAGACGAAGCACGAGGACTTTGTAGTAGAAATGAAAATCTTTGCACTACTCAAATCAAGCTAATTATGTACTAGTGTGCGATTACATTTAAATAATGCAAATCATACCAAATCTTTCATATATATATATTTTTATATATATATCGTGATGTTATTATAATGATATAATATAAAATGGATAAATCAGTAATTAGTCTATTAGGTAGATCTTTTGTGAAGACGCAAAAAGTCCTTTATTCTGAGAATGAGAGAGAGAGAATGGGAAGGAGACAGAGAGTGAGAGAGAGAGAAAAAGACAGAGAGAGAGAGAGAGGAGGAGAGAAAGGGAGAGGGAGAAAAAATGGAAAGAAAGAGGTAGGGACAAGTCTGGCTGTTCCTGAAAGTAGTCCTGATTGCCGTTGAGGAAGAGCGAGATGGCTATTTTGAGTAGGGCCGTCATGATTATAAAACGATTTTATAAGTAACAGTAATTGACGGGAAACTACATACAATAAAATCCGGTTATAAATGTGTGCTTCGCTTCCTTTCGAAAGTTTGTAGTCAACAGGCTAATTTTTTTTTTATATGAAAAGAAACATTTTTATAATTGACATAAGCTTTATATATATAGTATATAGTAATATAGTAATTACTTATATTATATCAAGTTATATCTAACAATGATAATCTTTCAATCAGGGAATCAGGGCCAGTCTGTATAGGTCGTGTACTTTCCCTATGTTGTTATCTGTTAACAATATCGCATTTACTAATGTATTATTTGCTAATGTATCAATAACGCACTGAACCAGTTAATGTCAAAATCAATGTAGCTGATACTGAATCCATTAGCAAGCTCAAATAGCTGAAAAAGTTTATCCGAAAAGTGTACATCAGTGTCTCTCGAAATGTTTCTAAAGACTATCGGACTGTTTATGGTAATATCTTTTTCGGCAATATTGGTAAGTTCTGCAGCGAACACTTTTCATTTCATAAAACTAATATATATTATATTTGAAGGCGACTAAAGTGATTTTCCAAACGGGAAATTGTACATTCAAACGCGATGTATTCTCCAATTTTTCAATGGAAATTATTAATAATAAGATTAAAATTGATATATATCTAGTAGGTGTACTGAAGGAAGGGCTTAAGGGTCATCTTGGTTTTGAAGTTCGCCAGTCCAAAAGCCCATCGTATCAGAGCGTCTTTCAGCATGATATCAACTACTGTGCTCTGCTCAAAGGCTCCCAAACCTCCATTTATAGTCGCTGGTTTAACAGCATGCTGAAATCCGGAAACTTTGCCCGAAGCTGTCCCATATATCCGGGCTATTACTATATAAAGGACTGGGAGTTAAAAGACGATCTGGTGCCAACTTTTTTGTTCTTCGGAGATTATCGAATTGCGGCTAGTTTCTACTATGGAAAATACTCGAAAAGAATTAAGCTTCTGGTGGAATGTTTAATAGAAGCGTTACTAGCTTAAACCTCTTCCTGTGTAATACAATTACTATGACCTATTGAAAATATAAAATCTAGAAAGGACATGTTCAGGTTCATTAGAGATGTGGTGAAGTTTTTTAAAATAAAAAACAAGTAATAAAGCTCTAGTCGAGACTGCTCAACTACGAGAACCCTGAACCCTTCGTGCAACTGATATTTCAATAATTATTCGCACATGCACACTCACACACGCACACAGACAGCCATACGCACGCAAGCATAAGCACGCATTGGCTGCAGTGGTGGCTTACTATGGAAATTTAATTGTTCAATAACTATTTTTATGGATGTACTTTCTTCATGAAACTTTTAGATTATGATTATAACATGGATATGCATGTATTTGCCAAAGCACAAGTGTCTAGTATTTGAACGGACGAATAGACGGACAAAGCTATATCGACTCAGCTCGTCGTCCTGATCAAGAATTTATATACATTATGGGGTCTGCGATGATTCCTTTTGCCTGTTACATACTTTTCACAAAACCATTATACCTTGATTTCCCATTTTCAATGGGAAATAAAAATAAATGGGAAATAATAATAAGAAATAATAAAAATAAATTTTTAAAATTTTAATAAATTCAGAGTTCATTAAAAGTTTACGAAGAACAATCAGGTTAAACCCACTCCAACTATTTACTCTATTTATTTCGTCAGAGTTTTTCTTCTAGGTATTTTTACTTTGTGTTTATTCTAAGTATTTCCCCTAGGTATTTGATGCTCAGCACTGCACGACTGACCCCCGCCAGGCCTGGGTGACTGAAGAAATGCTGCAGCTGCTGCCCTTTAAATAGGGCGACATTCACTCGGACCCTAAGTCGCTCTCAAATCTTGAGCCCGGCGTCAGGTAGGGATCGTTGCAGTCAAGTTCAAAGAGACCATTGCAATGGATGCTCTCTCTGCTGGTGCAGGCAGCATACATCGAATACTTTTGCATACTTATAGACAACTTAAATGATCTTCTGTTGTTATAATAATCATCGTTATAATCATTGATATAGTAATGATCCTTTGGTTAGGGGCAGTCGTTTGCAATATTATTGATCTCCACTGATTGATTATTGACTATTCAGCAATCAAAACTCTATGAATTTGTTAATCAGAATATAATATATACAACAGTATATTTTTATATACTACTCATATATTGCTCACCGACCACATACATATATTATCTAGTATAATTATGGTCAGTGACCCATTAAGGGTACTTTTTTTTTAACCTATACACCAGAAAATATTAAGTATAATTATTATAAAATTATTATATCTAATCATAAGCATCAGATATATATTTTCGTGTAATTGCGAGCATCGGCTATTATTAGTATTACATCTAACCATACAACACTTGAACTGGACATCTGAGCAAACTTCAACTTTGTATTGGGCTCGGTATTTTTTGGGTCGGGCAGTGAAAATTGCTTTTGAGAGATTGGTAAGGTCTTATGCGTACGTCTATTGCCATTTCTAAGACATGATGTTGCTCTTGGAATAAAACACGAGAAGCGCAAGATTCAGCATGCAGAGCGATATTAGGGCGACATAGCTGTTTGCAAAGTGAAACGGGTATTTAACGAAAACAATTTTTAAGTTGTAATACGAACTATAAGAGGTTACGAAAATAAAATTTTTATTTATAAGAGGTTTAATATTCTATGAGTTGCGAAAAAGACTAAGAACTAACGAGAGAAAATGTATGGAATTTTTTTCAAGAGAAAATATTATTTTTTCGATTTATTGCGACTGTAGTTACCTTTACATACATATGTCCCATCCCAATAGGATATGATTTGTGATCTTCATTCATATGGCAACTTCCGCAAATAATTTGTTGGATAGATAATGGTAGTTATAAACTAGAAATGCCCATAAAATTCGAGGTGCTGCGCAATAGCAAATACATATTTTTATGGCTACTGCGATGCGTTTAAGTACCGGCAATAGTGAGCAGTCAATTGCTCGAATCCAAGAGCTCAATACAACTGACAGTCCCATAAATCATACAAAATGCTCACGAAATCAAAGCGGCTGGCACTTCGCAGTCAGGCGCGCTTTTAAAATTCGCAAACTGTCAGAGGGAATACAATGGGCACGACGCGAGTCGAAACATTTCATTGCAAATATATTGAATATTAATTTTGTTGTGTCGCTGTCTATGCCGTGATGGCCCATTCGACGGGGCATTTTAATTCAATTTGTGAAATTTGCAAAAAATATGCTAAATTTGCGTGCTAAAAAATACGAACAATTTTATGACAGATGACATGATAGATATTCGGCGAGTGACAAACCCAGCTAATTCGAAAGCAATTGCGTTCACGTATTCGAAAACAGAGTTGCCCAGAAAATGTAATTATCGCAGATCTAGAAGGGAATTCGATTGGGTCTACAATTGGTTCCCTATGCAGACAGGAAAGCCCCTAATGTAAATGAAAATATCTGAACGATTTTCTTTGCGCTAGTCGGCAAATATATTGCTCGTTACTACATTTAGGAAGAAGAAAAAAACGGATAGATAAGTTGAAGAATACCATTGAAACATCGAAAGTGCTGGATAGATACGGAAATTGAATAGACTTCAGCTGTGGGGAAGGTGCCTAGGTCGTCTTGGGCAACATGGCGAATATGCCAGGCTTCAGATTGTTGACATCCTGGACAACAAACTCGCCGGAAATATGGTCGTTCATGAGGAGCGATCGCTTCTTGCTGGCATCCAGGAGGTGGGCCTCAAAGTGGATGTCGACTTCCAGTTCGGGCAGAATGGACGAAGTTGGGTCCTCTGGCCACCAGAACTTGTTGATGTAGTACGAGCCCTGTAATTTTCGATTAAAGCGTAAGTGACGAAATTTGTATCTTCCCTAGAAGACGCGAATGTAGATTGCACGAGGGCCAGAGCGCAAAGCGTGGGGGCACTCACCTTCGGTATCGGACAGGTGTCAATGATATTGCCGTATTCGCGCATAAAGCCGTGCACGAAGCGACCCACTGGCGACTGGTTGGCATAGTTCAGGATGCGGCAGACATTCAGGGTGGTGTTGAAGGTGGTTGTGTAGTACGGGTCCACTTTGTTAGTTATGCGCACCTCGAAGTGAATGTCCACGTCGTGCAGCGGTTGGTGCACCTCCATGGAGAAGTTCAGGTGCGGATCCGAGTTGTCGTAGAGGATCTTATGGCTGACCATTTTCTCCTCGCTCCACACCTTGATCTCCTTGAACTTGGGCCGCATCATTTTCTGGCCAATGCAATGGGAGCTGGTAAGGAATAGTCTGGAGGCGATTCACGAGCACTTACCTCGGCCAAGCTGCCGGAGCAGAGCGCCAGAAGGACTTGCACCACAAGCACACTGTTCATCCCCATGGTGATTTACTATGCCTGTCAGACCTCTGTGATGCTCCAGGTATTTATAGTGCCAGGTAATAATTAACAACGGTAATTTCGAATCGATGTCATCAAATCTAGGGTTTGAGTCTTAACGCCTGAGTGATTTGGAATAAAAGCATATTCAAAACCAATTAGCTGACGCTGCTTGCCATGACAATGAGGATTTCCATCTGATTCCGTAATGGCCAAACTCATTTGGTCTCCACTGATGCCTGACCGCCTAATACACCTATAATATGACTAATGGTTAATTGAATAAAATTGCCAGTTTATAATTGAACGAAGATGGGAACAGAGTTAATCCTACGATTTCTTGCATTGGCACTTACGCTAATACTAAGCCATCCTGTGGCTCATGGCTGGGTAAGCGTGAGACTTGGGGCTGAAACACTTAAGGCTGCTTACATGCTGTAAAGATCATGCGATCTGCCATCTTAATGAATTGTTTTTCTCTCGCAATCTCCTATTTCCAGCGCTCCTTCAAGATTGTATTTGTGCGCTTCGACTACGAATTCAATGCCAAGCTGGTGGATGTGAAAATAGAGTTGCAAAACAGTAGCAAAAGTGCGCTTACTGTCGTTGTCAACACCTTGGAGACAATCAACGGTGTGGACGTAACGGGCAGTGTTTTCTTGGAGACGGAGCCGGGCAACTATACTAGCTTCATCAGCAGGACTGTGGACCTGTGCAAGATGTTGAAGGACCGCAATGTGGATCCCCTGTCACGGTCCATATACCAAGACTTGCAGCGATATGGAAAGCTTTTCAAGGAATGTCCCATACAGAAGGGCACCTATACGCTGCAGGACTATGTTGTGGACGAGGAGCTGCTGCCCAGCTTTCTGCCAGAGACCAACTTCAAATTCAGCTTACGTCTATCGAAACCCAAGAATCAGATGATATTCAAGGGCTCGTTCTACGGACGCATCGACAAATCGAAGGGCTTCAACAATCTTAAGCTTTTTAGTATGGGCTAAGAGAGACATACATATGATTGAGCGCAAGGGAGACAGTGAGTGAGAGAGAGAAAAGGGTATGTGTGGGTGCGCTCTTATGTGCTAAACGCTCAATAAAGGTGTCTTGAATGCTATAAATTTGTCAACACTTCGTACTTCAATTTAAATTATAGTCATCATGCAATATGTGTACAATATCTCTCAGTTCTGCCCGAGCCCGAGACCGCGTCGCTATAGCTATCGCTATCGCTATTGCTATCTCTGTCTGCTGCTGAGTGCGCTGTTTGCCCGATTTTAGTATGCAAAATGGCTTTTGTCGCACAATTGACGTCATTGTCGGCTCTGAGGCGTCATCGTCATTGGGTAGTCGGACGCGTTGTCCTCACCAGCCAGTTCATCAGCCGAATGCTGAGTGCTGAATGCTGCGGGAACAGAGTCACCTCCGTTGTCACGTGTTTGCCTGCTCGACTGCGAAATTCGCATGTTTACCCGACGGTGACAAGCTGTCTGCAGGCAGCGAATTGATGACGCTGATAATAGCCACCGTCGACGGTAGACAATGAGGAAGACGAAGACGAGGGCGAGCGCGGAGGCGGAGACGTAGCCACGGGCCAAGACGGCAGTGATGATGTGCCCCGATGAGAAACAGACGACAATGATTTAGAGCGATTGTAGCAGCATGTGTGCCGAAGCTGGAGCTGGGAATGGGGATGGCGATGGGGCTGAAGCAGGGGACTTGAAGCACTCGTGTGTTGATTGGGCTGATATCGTTAGGAGCATATAAATTATAGGGTTAGCGGCATCTTGTTTTCTCTATAGATAGAGCCGACAAGATTTCTTATTAACTAATGCAGTTAGCCAGTATCTGATCTCGAGAGCTTCTCATTATTCATGCAGCATTACATGGTTGTTAGGCAGGCCACGTAATGGAGCCTACGAGCTAGATATAAAGAAATTCTCGTAAAGTTTGCCGACTCGATGCAAAACATAATAAAAGCTTGCGAATAGCTGACGGCATTTCCCTCTTTCTTTGCAAATTTGCTTTTTGCTTTTGCTGAATCCGCTTCAGAAAAGAAGCAGCAAGAGACCGCTGAGTGTGCCGCCTGGTGTCGAGGCGAGGGCGACAGAAGGGTTGCCTCGGCTAGGCTCTATAGTGTGCTGTAATTAAGGATGCGCTGCACATCGTTTTAAGCCAAAAGTCGTTGACAGCAGTAATGTCACGTTAAGTCTCGTGAGTCAGCAGCCGGCAGAGCGGAGAAATATATAAATCTATCTAAGCTCACGGGTAACCGTATAAAGACGGCCATAAATTGCTGCAAAGGCTTCGAAGAGTGCAATAACTTAGAAAATTACGAATTCCCATACAAACACGCGCACACACTAAATATATGTATATGTATATGTATATTATTTCTTTTATATAGCAAAGTCCATTTTAATTGCGATTGCGGGCTACAGTTGTCGAGGCCTTAACTTGAATAATGGATGGGCGGCATTTGCCTCTGATCCACAGTAATTCCCAGATCTACTTTGGCTGGACTTTTTTGTATCGTCTCGCAGTCAGCCTCAGGGGTTGGCTTCAAGTCTTATTACTATTTCAGTAGTTGGCATGCTTTGATCACGAAATGTGTAACACAATAGAGAAATAAATTCGTGGAGCTCTTCTACATATATGTATATGTATAAAGCAGAGCACTGGGGATATATATGTATATAAGAATATATTTCAATGATGATATGAACTTATTTTATTTTTCATTATTTATCAGTTCTACCTGTATCTGCCAGTATTTCAAACAAATATGTATATCTTAATTTCATGTAAATACATATGTATATAAATTTAAATATTTACATTTTTAGCATTTTATTTTCTACTCATCCTTGAAGTCCTCATTTAACACTGCGGCACAAGGAATTGGAAAAAAAAGTTTTAAATTATATAATTGGCTAACCAAATGATGTCATTTATATGCGGCTTAACTTGTCCAGATTAAATTTGTTATTTGAAAATGTTAATTTTGGATATACACCCAATAAATGACTGAAATCGATTCAGTAAGGGTATATATAGGTTTGGTGCAAATGTATGAGAAGTATTAAAATTAAATGTCGGATTTGTTGATTACAATAATATTAAGTTTGCTCCATTTTCTATAAAGATTTACTTATAGCACCAACAATTTCTTGATTCTACTCAGGGAAGAAAATTGAACAGGGTATCTATGAGTTGCACATTCTCGACTTGAACATTCTCAACTCGAAAGCGAAGAATCGACCAAACGACATATTATATAAGAATTGCTGTTGCAGGTCTTGCTGATCTATTTATTGAGACATAAATAGTCTTATAAATACACTGCCGAATCAGCATTAAAAGTGGAGCAGCTCGGTTCTCTATGACCATTAAATTCATCTCACATACGAGAAAGAGCGGCCTTTTCTGTAGTCGACTACGCAATGCTCTATTTGCATTATATAGAACGATTAAGAGATCGAACAGGAGTTAGAAATGCGATGCTTTAACATATTATGTCAGATGCCAGAGTTGAATGTAAGTCGATATATACAGAATCTTTTCATATTATCTTTTCAAATTTCGCTATGGTCTTCTGATCCCTAGAAATTGTTTGGCATTTGAAACGATGTTGAGCGAAACCAATATGCCCGGCTTTGATTGCGAGCAGGGCATCTGTGCCTGATCCGTCTATAAATGGCGATTAAATAAAATTCCCAATCGGAATTCCCAAATATAAATAATGTGAGCTTAAGCAAAAGCAAAACTAAATGGGGAATACTTAAGAGAACCGGATCAGAGGGACCCAGCTCGAAATTGATTTGTAAGCAAATAAGTGGGGGACCAGAATAAATTAAGTAAACAGCAAAATGTGGGTTATACATACAAATTGGGTGGACCCGAGATATTCCATCTGCATATATTCCCTACAAGGCACGTGACTGGCAGGGGCAGCACCTGTGGCTCAATGCAGTGACATTTACAATTACGCTTGCCACTAGCTGATTTATCGAGAGCCACGCCCCATTATGATGGGTTTATTGAACTGGCAATAGCAAGTGTTATGATTGGATCATAATTTTCAAATGATTGGCAAAACGCAGCTAGCCAATAGACGTTCTGAGTGTTTAGTTTCGGCTACACTTCTTCCATTTTAATGCGGATCTGATGCTGAAGAGCGTAACCTCGAGGCCCAACGTGGCTCTGGCTGTGGCAATGGCAATGGCTTGGCTCTCTTATCACTGCCCGGGTCTTTTTCATTTGCATACTGTTCAAGTTTTTCGGGCTTCTTTCGGCGTGTCGCTGACTGTATCTGCAGTTGAAATCGCAATCGCATTCACACGGCATGTGATGCTAGCATAATAATTTCTGTCACATAATTGAAGTGCTGGCAAATGCAAATGGCTGGGGGCGGGAAAAGCAATGAGAAAGGCGAAAGGGTGTTAGCTCTGTTTATGGTCAAACTCGTTCGCTGTACATCGACATTTACAGCTACAAACAATATGAGCCTCTCCTACAAATATACGCACATACATACATATATATATATATATATATATATATATATATGTATCTTATCGTGGCAGCTAGGGATAGACCACGAATTTTGATTCAAGAGACGGCAAAGAGTTCAATGGCTTTGCAAAGTTTCACTGAGGCAACATTAAAGTTTTTCTCATTCGGATTCCGCTCAAGTATGAAAATCCACTTACAAATATTATGTTAATTGGCACAAAAAGACAGTCGGAAAGTCAGAGAAATGAAATCTTATTACATCAGGCTGGCCAACAAAAAAGGATAAGCATAACCGGCAGACAATTGGCAAACAAACAAATTGCCAAAAATAACAGTTGGCAGTGAGAAAAATTCCAGCTACGGAATAAGCGAGTCGAAATTTTGATGAAATGAAATGTTGTCTTGTCTGTTGCTCTTTCCCCCAAAATCCCAGCCCAGCCCAGACCAGCCCATGTCAGGGAATGGCGCGCCTGGGCTTCCATCCGCCTTCCTTGGCTCGGCTCAATATTTGCACTGTGAGGCGTTGCCAGCTGCGAGCTAATTTTGACAGTCTTTGCTCTTGGAGACGGAGTCTAAGGTCGGGCGGGACTCGTAGCCTAGACTTGCACTCCACTTTGTACATTGCTTAAGACGTTTTGTATATTATTGGCTTGGCACTGCACTGCCAACAGATTCACAATCAGACTCATGGAGTGCTTGGTAAATACTTGTGGGCAAACTGTAATCAGTTTTTCGTAAAGTTTTTAATGCCATTTTGCATTTAAAATATGCTCGTATTTAAGTTAATTGAAAACTGTAGTTCTCCCTTTCCCTCTCTTTCTCTCTCTCTTTCTAACCCCAAAGAGAGCTCCCTTTCTGTATCTGTGGAAATCCTTGGAGAATTCATTTTAAAGACTTAATAACCTGAAAGCATTTGTGCATCAGGCAACACTTAAAATGCGCATAAAAATTCGCCCAGCATGCGAAAATTTATTTGTTCCTGTGAATTTGGCTGCCGGGCACCGAACTTATTGCAATTGCTACAAATTTTTACATAAATTTGCGCTATGACAAGCGGGGATAGCCCCGCCCAAGTCCTCAGGTACGGTGTTTCACCCTCGCTGAAGCTGCGTATTATGCAGGCCGTTAGCATTTCTTATTTTTTTCGACACCTTCAGTTTGGTTTTATGAGTTTTCGCATTTGTCTGCTTTGAAACGCCTTCGCTAGCTTTTACTCTGCCCTGCTCTGCTCTGCTCACTACCTTTTGAGCAATTTTTAAGCCGGAAATCCACTTTCAATTGTTCGGGGTGCCGCCATGGGCATTCCGTCGGTTTACATATTGCGCAGCTTCGTCCTGCGCTGTCTGTTGAAGTGTAAACATTTTGGAGGTAGGTGTAAATAGAATCTTGTAAAACGGCGCGGCTAACGGTGCGAGGAGTCGTGGCTTGGTTAGCTTTAGGCGGAAGTTGGTAAAATTCTTATTACGATGGGATTTCTTTGATTGTTTGACTTTCTTTTCAAGACGTTTGTTTACTTGGGATATTGTCAACAAATTACGCAAACAATTACTATAATCGTCGAGACAGGTAGATAAACCCTAATCACGCCTCTACGCAAGAATAATTTTAGTATCATGCTTCAATAAGCAATTCGAAAAACCAAACAAAAATTAACTATATGCGCGTCGATTAAATAGATTTATCTATGTTTTTTACTGTCCACAATACTCGTCATTCTCTCTCTCTCTTTCTTTTGTTATTCACAGAAATCGTTTTTCGTCGCAAATGTGCTCGTTAAAATTATTCTAATTTATAAAACACCTTATCTATGCACCCTCTGCACATAGAAAGTTAATTCCAAAAACAACAAGTCAATTACTTTTAGTAAATGAACAAAACTATAATTTCAAATGCAATAAAGGCCTATTCTGCATAGCCACTAGTATGCACTGCACCATGGGCGAAATGACTTCTTTTTGGTATACACTGGAGAGACATTAAATATAAAATATAATAAAAAAAAAATAATTAAAAAAAAGGTCTCTTTCGAAGAAACCGTTATTCGACATAGCAGAGCAAGGTTTCGATCCTCGGACCTCTGGGTTATGGGCCCAGCACGCTTCCACTGCGCCACTCTGCTGTTATGCTCGGTTTGGTCCGAAGCTAATGTGAACACATATGAAAAGTAGTTAGGTCCAAAGTTCAAACCTCGGTGGCACCCATTTATTTTAGTTTTAGTCTAAGCTGCAACTGTTAATTTCTTTTTTTTTTTTTTTAATACTAGTATACTAAATTACATTATTACTCATGTATTAATAATAATGTAATGCATATGTTTTTACAATATTCAAATACTTGACATGTTTACATATTATAAAAAATGTTGCATTCTTTTAGGCTCAGCAATAAATGATCACACAATAACATTATCGAACACTTAAATTTTTTGCGATCCTAAAAGTAGGCTAATAATTAATTATTTATAAATAATTTGTGGAAATTATTTTTTTTTCTATATTTTGATTTATTAAAGCCATACGGGGTAGTTTGGCTGACTTAGTTAGCAGTTGCAATGTTTACAAATATGTACACAATACAAAAATAATAAAAACTGATAGGTTTTCTTTTCTTTTCTTCATCTTCTTCTCCTATGGGGAGAACGGAGGATTAAATCCCTTGGCTGCCTTCTGTTGAGCCTCCTTGGAGTTCGATCCCACAAAGTATATATATTCTTGATCAGGGCGACGAGCTGAGTTGATTTGGCCCTGTCCGTCTGTCTGTCCGTCTGTACGTCTGTCCGTCCGTCCGTCTGTCCGTCTGTCCGTATGTATGAACGCGTCGATTTCAGAAGATATAAGAGCTAGAGACTTCAAATTTTTAATGTATGCTTATATGCAATTTATACAATTTCGGTTTTTGTTAAAATTTACCCCCCACCTCTAAATTCATCCCCTCACCGTCACTTTTGTAAAAAGCGTATTTCAAATACTAGAGACTTGTGCTTTGGCAATTACATGCATATCCATGTCATAATCATAATCTGAAAGTTTCATGAAGATCGTACGTCCACAAAAAAGTTATTAAGCAATTAAGTTCTCATAGTAAGCGCACACTGCAGCCCATGCATGTTAGCATATTTGCTAGCCGATTTTTGTGCCGCTCCAACCGGTCATTGTACCGACACGAGTGCTGATTTATTGTATCAAACAGGGAAAATTGATTAGCGATATTTGTAAATATATATTTGTAAGTCCTCCTGAATACATCAGAAGGTTAGGCTCTATATAATATAATCTAACTGTACTCAGGTACTATACTTGCATTGTACAGATTCAGCGCTTAATATAAATATAACACAAAATTGAGTCAATTTAAAAAAAAAAAAAGGGAAAATTGATGTTAGTAATATACTAATTTAATGTAATTAATTTTATTCTATGTGTTTATAGAAAATGTTAAATTTTAAAATATATTATATCTTTTTATATTTTTATAAAAATGTACAAGGATTTATAACCCTATTATTACCTAATAAAATTTAAAATTCAATTTACATAATTCTCAGTTCTCACAAACCGAGTGAGGTTTGGCCCTAATTTTATGTATATAAATATGTTGTTAAACTACTATATCTGATTGTATCGTTTCTACACTCAATAAAAAAAAAAAAAAAAAGTATATAATTTATTTCCACAAAAAATTTCATAATATACATGTCATATATATATACATAGAATAATGAGCTTCGGAGAATAAGCTCACATGAAATTCCGCTCACATAGCAGAGCAAGGTTTCGATCCTCGGACCTCTGGGTTATGGGCCCAGCACGCTTCCACTGCGCCACTCTGCTTGCTGCAAAAATCATGCCAAATTGCTTATTTCAATTAGACCGAAAGACAAAAGTTTAATGCAAATTTTTTAAAGAATGGTATATTTATAATAATATGTATATTAATATATTTTGTTATTTGTATATATTTATATATTTAAAAAATCTGTTTGTTTTGCTTATAAAATACCTCATATCTATGTACATATGTATATGCATATATCATTTGTGTGCAATGCCACCGAATCAGCCCATGATTATTCGAGGAGAGTTTCGTTTGCACTCCACAGTTCGTACAAAATGGGGCTACAAGACTCCAGAGATGTCTCATGGAGCTGCATTACAGCATCTGCCCATGTCTGACCGCCGCCACTGTCGATTGCAGCATGTAATTTTTCTAGGGGTAGGTGAAAAAGGCGTCTGCCATGTGTGCGGTGTCTATTTAATTACAATTGTCGCCGCAATCCGTGTCCATGTGCGAGGCGATGCGATGCGATGCGAGGCAATGCGATACGATGCGATGCAATGTTGCAGGAACAGCGGCAACAAAATCGCTGCAATTAACGCGAGTGCAACTGGGGACCGAGTGGCGGACAGTTGGGAGTTTGCTGTCCGGCGAGACCTTTTTCGATGTGCGAGGCCCATTTTGTGCGATTATTTTACGCTCAATTATTGTTAAATATTTTACAAAATGCGTATACTTATACTCACGCATCCCACGAATGCCGCTGCCATTGCGAATTGCAAATTGGCCGGGATCGCCGTGGTGTCATGTCCATGTCCTGCTCCCGGGGTTGTCCTAATGAGATTGCAATTATTTGGCCATAAATTTTTATTATTTCGGCTTTAAAGTTCATGAACTTTTATCGGGCAATTGCTTGTGCGTGTATGTGTGTGTGTGTGGCTTTGTGTTTGTAATCCACAAAAATGCATTTACCGTTTTGCAATGACATGATTTAATTTGAAATTATTTTGTAATTAATTGGACCATAACGTTGAGTGGACAATATAATTAAATACATAATTAATGGTCGTGGGTCCAAAAAGGCACTGATCTAATTATGCGCATCCATAGGTATTTTGCAGATAATATACATACATATTTCGGAGTCATCACTCATTATTACTATAACGTCAAAAAGAGATATCACTCGACCAACCACAAAAGATACTAAAATGTAATTGATAGTTATATATATATATTTCAATATATTTTCAGGTTGCTTACTCGAAACCGAACTCCTAGGAGGCTGAACGGAAGGGATCTAATTCTCCGATCTCCTGTTATGATGGTCAACAGAAGTTGACGCACAGCTGCCATCATATATCATTTTGTTATATTCTTGTAAATATTATAAATATTAGTGACAGCTAACACAAGGTAGCCGGCGCGCCCAAATGGGCAGAATAATTACACAATAAGCTCACAAAGGGGTAACTGGAGTACCTCGTATAGCTTCAATAAACATTAATCAATATTATTATATTTCCATAGATGCCAATGCCAATCCACCTTCTTTGGATACCAGTGGCATTATGTTCGTTGCAGTAAGAACAAGACCAAGTGTTCTCCTGTTAGATATCAGAATTTTAGAGATGGTGCAACTACCTTTAGTTTGGTCTTTGAAAAAAAAAAAAAAAACAAGTAAGAAAGCTCTAGTCGAGACTGCTCGACTACGAGATCCCCTGAACCCTTGGAGCAATAGATATTTCAATACTTTTTCGCGACTTTCAGCTTACACAAGAAACACGCACACACACACACACACACGTACGTACGCACAGACAGGTAAACATACACACACACGCATAAAGACACACATACACACACACACGCATACAGACACAAACGCATACACACACACACACACATACAAGCAACCACGCATAAACACGCATGGGCTGCAGTGTGCGCTTACTATGAGAACTTAATTGTTTAATAACTTTTTTTATGGACGTACGATCTTCATGAAACTTTTAGATTATGATTATAACATGAATATGCATGTAATTGCCAAAGCACAAGTCTCTAGTATTTGAAATACGCTTTTTACAAAAGTGAGGGTGAGGGGGTGAATTTAGAGGTGGGGGTAAATTTTAATAAAAACCGAAATTGTATAAATTGCATATAAGCATACATTAAAAATTTGGAGACTCTAGCAATAAAGGTGTAGAAGATATAATTTTATAACTGGGTTTCGATAAGGTTTTTTATCGATAAAAAAAGATCGGGATGAGTTATCGATTTTTAATGATAAACTTGATATGCGCGCTGTAATTACGGACATTTTAAAAAAAATTTGAAGTCTCTAGCTCTTATATCTTCTGAAATCGACGCGTTCATACATACGGACAGACGGACAGACGGACAGACGGACAGACAGACGGACAGGGCCAAATCAACTCAGCTCGTCACCCTGATCAAGAATATATATACTTTGTGGGGTCTGCCACGCCTCCTTCTCCCTGTTACATACATTTCAACAAAACCATTATACCCTGATTTCCCATTGAAAATGGGTTCAGGGTATAAAAATGCGACACGTGTAAAATCTATATTGAACTCTTTCAACGTAGGCAACCTCTGCAAATATTAAACAGCATTGACAGTGAATACTGAAGTACTTTTCACTACGCTTTGGCCCGACAGCCCATGCAAAAACACGTACAGAAACATTCTGCTCGTACTGTATGTCGCATATACTCTTGATCGATGAAAAACATTTCCACTAGCTTGGGCGACGGCATTGCGATTCTTTCATTGGGTTCGTAACCTTAACCTTCATATAGGTATTTGCTTTTTTATTGAGATTATTTCATATCGATCTCGGCAAGCAGGTAACAGCCAGATCACCTGTTCTTATGAGTATATTTTGATGTCTTTGTGAAGCTAGCTGAATTTGAATTTTGTAACTGTTCCTAAATGTGTTTACGTTCTCAGGCTGAAAATACGTTGCATTATCTGGGTTTGCTAATGTGGGCATGTGGTATGACGCACAAAGGAAATCTTTTAACTTGTAAGTTAAAAGTCCTATGTTCATCATATTGTCCCTCCTAATTCAACTAATAGCCAGTCGATTTTCATTATAATCACGATTTAAATATGGCAAGCTTTAATGCAAAATAAAAGTTCTAAAAGATTTCCCTCGATAGTCCTTATCAGGCTTACAGTCTATGCATAAAAATATAGATACAACGCCTAAAGAGTATAAGGACTATTTTGCAGTCAAAACGGATTTTTTCACTTATTTGGCTTTGGTTTTCGCAAACTTTTTTCAGCCGTCTGCCTTTTCGCATATTCGCCTCATTGTTTACATGTGTACAAGAGGACTCTGAATTCATGGAGATCACGCACAGAGTTTGTCTCTTTGGTATTTAGGAACGGTTCGAATGGAACGGCTGATGTTATTTTTATACACTGAACCCATTGAAAATGGGAAATCAGGGTATAATGGGTTTGTTAAAAGTATGTAACAGGCAGAAGGAGGCGTGGCAGACCCCACAAAGTATATATATTCTTGATCAGGACGACGAGCTAAGTCGATTTGGCCCTGTCCGTCTGTCTGTCCGTCCGTCCGTCCGTCCGTCCGTCCGTCCGTCCGTATGTATGAACGCGTCGATTTCAGAAGATATAAGAGCTAGAGACTTGAATTTTTTTTTCCTAGGTCCGTGTATATCTCGCGCATATCAAGTTTTTCTTTATATATCGATAACTACTCCCGATATTTTATTATCGATCAAAAACCTTATCGAAAGCAAGTTATATCTCCTACACCTTTAGAGCTAGAGCTTGCAAATTTTAAAAGTAGACTTATATGTATTTTATATAATTTCGATTTTTGTTGTAATTTACCCCCCACCCCTATATCCACCCCCTCACCCTCACCTTTGTAAAAGGCGTATTTCAAGTACTAGAGACATGTGCTTTGGAATGTACATACATTTTCACTATATAATTACGCCCTAAAACTTTCATTAAGATTGTACTTATAGAAATTAAATTATTCAACAAATAAATTCTTATAAAATTACCTACACTACAGCGCTGCCCAAGCGCAGTTAGCAGAGCGCATTCTAATACGTGTGTGTGTATGTATGTGTGTCGAAAAGAAGTGCAGACTGATTAGAATATCAGATTAGAGGATTCAGGGTATCTCCTAGTCGAGCAGTCTCGACTAGAGTCTTCTTACTTGTTATAATCTGATGTACAATTTATACTCACATATGTAGGTATATATGAAATACATTATGGATTATTTGATTAGTTCGGGGTAAAAAATCAATAACCTTGATAACTTCATCAGCTATAAGTCTTGTTAAATCTTCTTAAATTCTATGCTACTGATTGATATTAAAGTTTATTCATACAAGCTTTCTTTTATTTATATGTGAAGGAAGGAAACGAGTCGCAACTTAAATTTAAAATTATTGCTGGGCATTTGTAATGGTCGCAACTGCGTCAAATGTTTTAATTGCGGTGCTGGTAAAACAACAACAACAACAACAACAACAAGCGCCATGGCCGCGGCAACAGCGTGAGCATCTACATCAGCAGCCGCTGCATTCACAAATTATTGGCAGACTTCAAAAAGGCAATGCGCAAAAAAAAGGACAATGCGCAAAACAAAAACAATCTGACAGAACTTGCCGACTACAAGATACCCAGACTTCGTAGTGCATATACATAATTTTAAAATGATTTGTATTATTTGTGTTTTTAATAAGCATATTCCGGTATTACTAAGAATACTCGAGTCTTAGCCTCGTGTGACAGTTGTTGGGAATTATATTTCTACAAAGATTATGACGTGCTTAACTCTGAAACCAGAAGTAGGAGAAGACTCGCCGTCGGAGAGCAAAAGTGTTACAGAGTCTCAAACTTTTGACAGCTCCATCCTTATTCTTTCATACGGGCTGTTAATTACTTATTATTTGGCTTAGCCACCTTTTGCTTTTTTTTTTATTGCTACAGGGTATGAAATATATATAAATCTACACATTTTTGGAGTTTGGGCATGTTTGCGGCAATTAATTTAAACACACGACTTTGGCTTTGCAATGTTTGCGGTTAACCTTCGCCAACACCCAACTTCCACAGTTTTGCAATTCTGCTTCCATGATTATAGCTCAATTGCAATATCCCCTGAATCCATGTTAAACTACAAATTCATTGTAATATAAAACTTTTTTTTTTTTTTTTTGAATGAAATAATAAAATAAACTAACCAATTCGATATGTACTGAAATTTTCAAATAATTCTCTTTTTCGCTTAATTTCTGCATACACAAGAAACAATACACACACATGCGCACGCACGCCTAAGCATGCGTTCTGCTAACTACGCAGCGACTGAAATAATGTGAAAGTATCTGCAGAAATGAAAGAAAATGTGAGGTTAGAAGAATATAATCATTGAAGAATTTTCAATACGTCATTAAGTCATGTGAAATAATTTGTGTACTTATCATATAATCAGAAAACCTAAATATGTATGTATGTATATATTTTTGGTTTAATTCCGTTTTTGAATACTTAAAATTTGATATCAAAATCAGTCAAGATTTTTTGAAAGCCGTTATACAACGATAATAAATGCAACAGATAATTAATCAATATAACATAATTTTATGAAGATCTAGACAACCAGAGACACCTTCCTTCCGTATGCTACCCATTTTCCAATATTGAAATAATTGGATTTAGTCGTATATCATGTCAGTCTTCATTGAGTCGCCTCGGCGACTTGAGCGACTCATATATGATTGTTGCATCTCATGATACGAATGGCAGCTGGAAGATAAAAAGGAATTTCCTAGCTTGGTCTCTAGTTCCTCCTGGGCGGAAACATGTGAGCAGCTCCTGGCAATCTTATAGAGATTCTCGTACTTTTGCTGCAAGGTGAGTAAGCTCGATTTGCCAGGTCCTTCATAGAAGTCCTTGGCCGTGAATTTGCAAAAGTCGATTAGCCCCAGTAACTCAGAAATATACTCCCTATTCATTTTTCCCTTCCCTTCGATTGCCGGAGTAGCGACCAGTCCATTAGTATCTGTTTTCTCATCTTCACTTTCAGTGTCTATAGCAGCAGTATCATGTTCACTTTCAGTGTCTGTAGCAGCAGTATCAGGACCATCCAGATCGTTATACTTTATGTACATTTCAATCAAGTTGAAGCGCTCTGGCTCACTGAGTCTGCTCTCGACCACCTCAATATAGCTTTTGAACACATCTGTGCTAAACTGGTATATGGCCGAGTGGTTGAGCACCCTCTTGGCGTGATTCTTGAGGTCACGAGAGACATGGTCGATCAGCAACGAGTAATTCAGTGTGTGCGCGCACTGGAAAAGACGCAGAAGCTCGTCTGTGTCGAACATTTCCTTGCGGTATAGTAGATGTCGCACACAGTCCTCCTTGATGGACTCTACCAGGTACTTGTTGCCGAACTCTGCTAGTTTCACAAGTGTGTCAAAGTCGTATACTTCAAGCCTCTCGTCATCGTAGCCGTAAACATATTCACGAAACTTCTCAAACACTTTTGGCTCCACGTCGTTCAGCTTCACCTCCCCGCTGCTGGACTCATTGTAGTTGCCATAGAGCATGCGATCGAACACCTCAGAGGCGCAGCTAAAGATCAGCTTGTGGCACTGAAATACCTTACTTCCTTCTGCAGTTTCGATAATAAATTTGCAGTCTGCATGGCGATTGGTACGCAAAATGTCGGCCAAGGAATCACGCATCCTGCAGTTGGCGAAAATAAAAATAAAAATTGGTTCATGATACATCTAAAGTACTTACCATGTAGTAATCATTATTTCAAAATATTTCAGGTTGTCTTGGAAAAAGAATAAAAGTAGATTTTTCAGATATCTCAAATAATTCCCCCGATGTCAACAAAATAATTTAATTTGGTCAATTTAGAAATGTTTGCTTTGTTTTTAGAAACTATTATTTATAGAAAACTTGTGCTTCGGCAAATATACACATATGAATAATGCATTTTTGTGATGTTCTGAAAGTTTTATCTTTATAGTCCCATTACAAGAGGATTTATTCAATAATTAATGTACTGTAAAATACCTCAAATTGCAGCTCTGTTAATAGAGCGCGTGATTAAGCGTGTATGCTTATGTGTGTGGGTGTGTGTGTGTTTGTGTAAGTGCAAGTGTTGTTTGTCATATGTATTTGCTTGTATTTTATAAGTTGTTAGTCATTAGTTGTTTAGTCATTACCATTCAGGATTATTCGATTTTATCAGGGACCGCAAATAGGAGTTATCAATGTAAAAAATTTGAGGCTCAAAAGAAGCCCCAAAAAGGGAGAGGAAATTACACAAAAGTTATTTTTTTTACCGCAAATTCAATAAGAGGATAAACTTTTATTAGCAATTTGTTGTAAAAAAATTATTTTTAATCATTATAAATAATTTATATGATAAAAATCAAAAATAATTATTACAGATCAATTTTTTTTTTATAAAAATCAAATCATAACTCTTATTTTCAATATTTATAATAAAAATTAAAAATAAGAATTATGGCTTAACTTTTATAAAAAAAAAAAAAGAAATAAAAATTGAATTCAAATATCTCTTGAACTAAAGGAGCTAGATCATATAGTTTTGTATATATATGATCTACGCATTAATACCTTTCATTTGATATATAATATGTACATATGTTTGTACATATACATATATATTAATTTAGATGCATAGGCACTTGCCCATTGCACTTGCCCTGTGCACTTGCCAGTACCTATTCATTACCTGCTGTATGCGCAAAAGAGTGAAAGAGATAGATTGAACTAAAGCATAATGACACACGCACAGTGAGTATCTATCGGTCAATGTAGCACATGCTCATTTTGAACGCTTATTTGAGTTCCATTAAGGTTGCGTCTAACGCAAGGAGGAAGAGGACTAATGTTCTTAAATCTAAATAAATAGTAAACTCATATAGAGTTACGTCTATGGGTACAGGAGAACGTGAGAATAATACATATATATACATTACATTATACATTGTACTCACTATCAGTTACCATGTGGCAGAAAGAAAATAAACTGTAGATCGAGCTATTTACTGTAGTTGATTATCTAGGATATTATTTGCCTTATAGTACTCGACATTTTAGCAGAACTTAAGGGCTAAGGACCAGGCTTTGATTGAAACCTAAAATGGGATTCCAATTGCACTTTTAGAATGGCGCAATAAGTAAGTTTCGATTCAATAGTACATCCATGTGATAGCATAATGTATTTACAAATGTTTCAATACATCAAGTTCAAGCCCGAGCAGAAAATAGAAATTTTTCGAGAGCAAGCGGATCGATGTTAACATCGATGATAGAGAATTAATTAATTGCTTGATTGTGATGTCGCAATGCAAACGGTAACCAAGCCAGTGACAACATTTTGCGTACACTTGCGAATTTTTATTGGCATCGGCTTGTTTCCCCAGCGAGAAACAAGAAAATACAAGAAACCCGATGATGAAATAATGGTGCCAACTGAACTAAACTGAACAGCGTCTGTTCTCTCTTGTGAGCACTTCGGCCAGTTGTCGAGTCGAAGACATTGCGTAATTCCGCAAGCCGCTCAAATCAAGTTTTTCATAGGCCGCTGCGACGAAAGTGAGACACAATATTTTTGAAATCTGCTAAACATTTTCCACGCGTGCAACTTAGTTTTCATTCATTGCTTGGCGAGGTCAGTCGCTAGGAAAACAGAGCTGCAAACCATAAAGAGATCTCCTCGGGACCAAGATGAGCGAACTCATACGACGCGCTGTGCTCCTGGGATTGCTCATTCGCTTCGCTCGGAGCGATGATCCGTTTTTGACTGATCCGCGTAAGTGTCAAGTGGATTGAGTGCTTAGTTATCAGGCTTAGCACTTACCTCTAGCTTTGATGGGTTGTGGCTGGCGATTGCTTGGCCGAGTGCAGCGCTTGCTTTTAGAAACCATTTGGCGCTGGCTAGGCCGGCACGCAATGTAACTAACCCACTTAATGGCTTATTGTCAAATATTGCACCACTAAACCGGATCTGTTTCTCTGCATTTATTTGTGTCTTTTTATTTTGAAATTCAACTCAACTGAAATCAAAACCTCAATTTTAATCGAACCGCAGCAGATTACATCAAAGAATGTAAAATAGCCGATAAGAATTTCGTCAACTGCTCCACGCAAAGCATTCAGCAGCTCTTCGACAAGCTAAACGATGGTAAGTCGCTGACATAGACACGGCTTGGGGTATCTAACTGGATATTACAGGAATTCCGGGCCTGACAAGCATCAAAAGCTTTGATCCATTCCATTTGAACCGCATACGCATATCCCAGGGCAACAGCAATGCGATCAATCTGAAAGTCGAGCTGGCCAACATCAAGATTTTCGGATTCGGTCACACCAAAGTGATTGAGAGCTTGTAAGTCGCACCGCGAGGCACACTCACCTCCTTATATTACCTTGCTTTGCTTTGTCTGGCAGAGTTTTCAAAAAAGACTACAGCTGGAAGACCACATTTACGTTGCCGGTAATGAAGCTTCAAGGAGACTACAGTTTATTCGGGCGCATTCTGCTCATACCACTAAATGGGCGTGGTCAGGTGTTTTTAGACGCAGGTGAGAGTTGCTCAAAGATTTTCGCATCCGTCCACTGGCAAGTGTCCCTATGCAGATAACATGACTGTCACCATGCACACAAAGACGCGACTGTACTCGAAGGGCGGCTTCACGTTTTACAATGTGACCAACTGCCGCGTGGACTTCAAAATGGATGGCCTGAAGTCATACTTCTCTAATCTGTTCAATGGCAACAAGCAATTGGGTGAGCTCTCTCTCTCTCTCTCTCCCTCTCTCTCTTTCTCTCTCATTTTATCTCTTTCTCTGTCTGTCGCTCTCTACTCTCTAATTGTGCCTCTTGCAGAGGACAGCACCAACAAGTTCTTCAACGACAACTGGCGAATGCTGGCAGATGCTCTATACACGGTTATCACGCAGACCATCGAGGACATTCTGCTCGATGTTCTGAAAAAGATTTTCCACTTCATACCAGCAAACTACTTTGTCAGCGACATTCCCACTCCGGAGCAACTCTATGGTAAAACGAAGCCGAAACCAAAATAAACGTAGTACAAGAACTTTCAGCTCTTAGTGATATTTATTGGTTTCGGCAATCGGAATAAGATTATTTAAGCTGTCTATGCTGGATTTCGCAATATGAGTTAGGTCTTGCTTTCACTCAAAATATATAACGTCGAATCAAATGTAATTAAATACTGGGTTCATTTTAAATTGTCAACAAAAATTCGAATAGATTAAATGTAAGTATAATGCTTAAGTTTTGTTTTTCTCGCTTGTATGTTGATCAAATTTTAAATTTATTGTACTCGGAATATCGAAAATTAGTGTTTAATGGTTTTATTAAAATGCATGCCCATTACATGGCCGATCCCATCTATATACATATATTCTTGACCTGGGCAACCAGGTATTTATGAACGTAGCAATTCTAGATCCTATAATAGCTCAGTTGGTCTTCTTCCAGTCGAGCAGTCTCGACAATTTATTACCGACTTTTGAATGGTTTTTTAGTCGATAACAAAAAACGGAAATAATTATAATTTTTTGAAGTCTATAACTACATATGTAAATTTTTTAGGTAGTCGGACCATTAACAAACCGGCATATATATCCGATTTTCTAGTCTTTAGTATTTAAGGAAGTATGCACTTCTGTATGCGTTGAACTGTAAAACGGAGGCTACATTCCAAATAATAAGTAACTTCATAGATGCAATAGATTCACAAAACCAATACTAGGTTTAGCTCCGTGGATATCTTAATTTAACTCAAGATGTGAACCGCTCTAAAAACAAAGCAAGCTTTTTTTGATTGACATAAGGAAAATATTTTGTTGATTACAGCATAGAGAGAATTGATTGAGATTCGATATCTGAGCAAGCTACTTCTATTTATGTCTTAAGACAAACGCAATATTTCAAAATGATTACTACTTGGTAAGTACTACAGATCGTAGCGAAATTTTTGGTTAATTTTTGCCAACCAAAGGATGCTCGACTCTTTGACCAAGATTTTGCGTACCAATCGCCATGCAGACTGCAAATTTATTATCGAAGCTGCGGATGGAAGTAAGGTATTTCTGTGCCACAAGCTGATCTTTAGCTGCGCCTCTGAGGTGTTCGATCGCATGCTCTATGGCAACTACAATGAGTCCAGCAGCGGAGAGGTGAAGCTGAACGACGTGGAGCCAAAAGTGTTTGAGAAGTTTCGTGAATATGTTTACGGCTACGATGACGAGAGGCTTGAAGTATACGACTTTGACACACTTGTGAAACTAGCAGAGTTCGGAAACAAGTACCTGGTAGAGTCCATCAAGGAGGACTGTGTGTCGCACTGTGTGCGACGACTACTATTCCAAAAGGAAATATTAGGCACAGACGAACTTCTGCGTGTTTTCCAGTGCGCGCACACGCTGAATAACTCGAGGCTAATCGAGGCTATATCCCGCGTACTCAAGAATCATTGTAAGAAGGGTCTCAACCACTCGGCCATATACCAGTTTAGCACAGATGTGTTCAAAAGCTATATTGAGGTGGTCGAGAGCAGACTCAGTGAGCCAGAGCGCTTCAACTTGATTAAAATGTACATAAAGTATAACGATCTGGATGATCCTGATACTGCTGCTACAGACACTGAAAGTGAACATGATACTGCTGCTATAGACACTGAAAGTGAAGATGAGAAAACAGATACTAATGGACTGGTCGCTACTCCGGCAATCGAAGGGAAGGGAAAAATGAATAGGGAGTATATTTCTGAGTTACTGGGGCTAATCGACTTTTGCAAATTCACGGCCAAGGACTTCTATGAAGGACCTGGCAAATCGAGCTTACTCACCTTGCAGCAAAAGTACGAGAATCTCTATAAGATTGCCAGGAGCTCCTCACATGCTTCTCACATGATTTTTTCTCCCTTTTACTCTTGCAAATGCTATTCGTGTTACGGACATGAAGTCACTGAGTCGACTCATCAAAGTCTGTCATGTCCTTTGAATATCTTCAAGTAATCCAATATTAGAAATCAATTATTTAAATAACATACATGGGATCTCTCCCTCTCTCTCCCCTTCTCTTTCTCTCTCTCTCTCTCTTTCTCTATCTGATTTACTATTATATTATGTTGGCGGTTTCATTTGTTTTCCCTTTACACCTTTTTTCAAAAGTCTTGACTAAGTATATATATCAAATTGCGCAGTCAACTTGGCCAATTTGAAATAAATGAGTTCTTCTATAATTTAAGTAATAAAATATTAATTTAACTGATTAGCTATGATATGTATGTATATCTACCGAAGTGTATGCATAAATAGGCAATAAAAAGTAATTTCGGATTCCATGTCGCTATTGATTTATGCCACACTTACAGCTTGGATCAAAGATTTTATATTATTATTTATATATTCTTGAGATGCGTGGCATAGACATTTAAATCGGGTATTTAAAGGAAATATGAACCTATTTCGCAGTTAAATACTATCGGAGTCTTAGTATGCTCATATTAATTTGCTATGTTCTCTTACCATAGATGAAAGACAGTCGCCCGTATCAGCATGCATCACAGACTGGAAGCAAGGGAACTGAGGCTTTTTAAAGCAAAGCTGCTTCCTGCTGTGCGGTAGGCGCATTAGTGTCCTTCAAGTGGCGTCTTAGTGCATGCACCGAGAGAGCTGACCAGAAAGAGCTCAAGACGGTTGAAAAACAAACGACGCCCACTTTTTCAGACATTGTGCGATGTACACAAAAAGGAGTTTCATGTATGCTCCGCCATATATCAGGATAGATGTCATAGCCACCAGCCCTCACCTAATCGGGCGTAGTTGTTGTAGTTGTTCCGATTGTGCCGCTGAAGAAGTAAAAAGTCATTTTCGACCATGTTATTTGCTATTTTTTAGCTATAAGTCCGGCCAATGGAAATTCGAGTCCGCGAAGCATTCCTGGTCGTGACTGTCTCGAGTTCTGTGCACTCGGGCAAGGAGAACAAGTAAGAAGGCTCTAGTCAAGACTGCTCGACTAGGAGATACCCTGAACCCTCCAAGCTGATATTCTAATCATTCTGCACTTTTATGCACACATACATACACATGCATCCACACGCACGCATAAGCCTGCGCTCTGCTAACTGCACAGTAAGCAGCGACTGCGCTTGGGTTGCGCTGCAGTATGGGCAATATTATGAGAATTTATTTGTTGAATAATTTCTTTTGTAAACATATGATCTTAATGAAACTTTCAGAGTGTAATCATATGGTGAATATGTGTGTACATTCTAAAGCACAAGTCTCTAGTACTTGAAATGCATTTTTTACAAATTGAGGGAGAAGGGGGCGTGGTATCCCAAATCTGTAAATTACAAAATCTTTGTATCAATTAACTTTATATAAAACGCAAATTTGAAGGTCTAAAAATGTTCAAATGAGGCTAAAAAAACAAAATCAATTTTTCGATTATTCTCGATATAAAAGTTATCGGACGATTTATCGAAAAAATAAAGCAAACTCGTACTACGTATGGTACTCACGAGTATGCATGCCAAATTTCAGCTCTCTAGCTCTTATAAATTCTGAGATCGACGCACTCATACGGACGGACGGACGGACGGACAGACGGACAGGGCTATATCAGCTCAGCTCAGCTCGTCGCGCTGATCAAGAATATATATACTTTGTGGGGTCTGCGACGCCTCCTTCTGCCTGTTACATACTTTTTCACAAAATCATTATACCCTGATTTCCCATTTTCAATGGGTTCAGGGTATAAAAAGCGGTATCTCTTATCTTCGACTGCATCGCTCGTTCTCGTATGTACTTTTCAATGGATATTCATACATATATGCCACCGCCCACATTTGTCCTGCTTAAGTACTTCTTACTGCGTTCGCTGCTAAGCGCACTTTTCAATTACCCCAAAGTGGAGGGCACATTTATTTTGGGGCCAATTACGAAAATTAAATAATTTGCTAGAGTGACTCTCAGAGGGCCCAATAAATTCATTTTCTACAGAATAAGTATATATAAGTGAATTTTATTTATTATTTATTTATCTTTCTTTGATTAGAATGTTTTGTATGAATAGCAATAACAAATATGTTTATAAATTAATTTACTCCTGCCGACTGTGTAAGCTCGAGTATGGCTATCAGGGAATAACGAAGTTCTGCTAGGAAAGTTGAGACCATAGAACTATTCAATGTTGTTTAAAAGACTGCATTCGAATTCAGATGCACTTTTCCTAAGGTATTCATTAAACGTAGAGTCGATTCATCTTCAGATTATCTAAAGTCAATTTATGGCTAATTGCGAATTATATAATCCAGAGAAATGAGAGTCGATCCAAGCTGTTATAAAATTCAAATTCTTTTAACGCACTTTCTAAACTTAATTCAATAATTTCCACAATCGAATTCGAACTAAAATGTTAGTGAAATGTAGATTTTGTCAGAGCCTTAGCATGAATTTCTGTGATCGAACATGTTTCAAAACAGATTACAAAGACCTACCCGTTTTGCTTTGAAGAAGTTTGCCAATTTTTGCTAATTTTAACAATAATTTGACAACACTGAGCAGGAGACCCAGGCATTATAAAGTTCTAAAACAATGAGCGCAGCATTAAAAATAATTATCTTGGGACTCAAATCACAATAGCAGCTCTTTGTCTGACACATCCTTTTCGAGGAGCCTTCGGCAGAGCTGTGCTTTTCTGGCCACACTTGCTGGCAGGACTATTAAAAAATATGCGCATGTTAATTTAAATAAAGTGTGGAAACAAATAGAAACTAACGAAGGGAGCAGAGGATAGGAGGATAGGAAAAGCGCAACCGGTCAGGATGCCCGAGTGAAGTTAAGCGAACAGCGATGGCGGCAACAAAAAGGACAAAAAGTCCCCTGCCCGGCCGGGCTCTGCCGTTGGCCGGGACGGAACCAGAGCAAATATTAATCCACAAAAAGGAATTGTCACAAATTGTGTGCTATAGTCCAGGTGGCGTCTTCCGTCCGCTGGGCAAACAACAGTTGCACCAAAAAGGACAAAAGGACTATTCTTCTGCATGCGTGTGTGTGTAGCTGTGAAGAGGGGCTGCCAAAAGGGTGTGAGTACAGGACTCCAGCCTTGACAGCGCTGATTGTTTCAAATCGCAAGTTTGGCTTACCTTTTTGGGAATTAATTTGGCAAATAAACGCTGACAAAACGCAGGCAACTGGACAAGGACAAAGCTCTATTCTATTCCTTGTGCAAGGCCAACTAATAGGATTTTGATGATAGTTGCTCGGTTTGCCATCTACTTCGACCCTCGGGCCTCGGGCGTTGCAGCCTTCGCCATAATCAATTTTTGGCCAGGTTTTTTCTGTTGCTCAGTTGGCCTCTCATATGATTGTACCCTGTGACCCATGAAATGAGTTTTGCCATGTGTGTGGACGTGTGTGCTTCCGAGTGGTGTGCGAGGTGGCAGAGGCAAACGAAATGGCCAAATGAAATTACCAACACATTCAGTCAGAGAATGAGACGGAGATGGCTCGGGCTCTGAGCCGCAAAGCCAAAGCCAAAGCCAACCCAAAAGCTGCGCCGCAATTCGTATTCATAGCATTTCCCTCACTCACTCACACCTCTCTCTCCCTCTCGCTCTCTCTCTGCCGTTCTCTGGCTTCATATCTCAATGCGGGCCTTGTGGGTGTGTGGCGGTATTATAATTAATTTCACTGGCCCAAATATGTAAATTTGATTACGAGCCAAAACAAAAATAAATTCACAAATATAGCGCATACGCAGCGTATTCACAATTTCTATGCTGACCAAAGGCCGGCTTCTAAGCCGCTTAAATTGACTGCTGTTGAGATGGACGGCAGAGGCCGGAAGATGGGGGCGGAGGGCAACGGAACGGATCGGGACAGCTGTCTATATGTGTCCACGTCCATGTCGCAGTTCATCAACGGCCAACTTTGGCTGTCTCTGCCTTGTTACGAGAACAAAACTTTTGTTTCCCGCTTCCCAATTTTTTTCAGCTCTATTTTCATTTTTTTTTGGCGACTTTTTAACGTCAACTTTAAATGAATTTCATAACAGTTTTTATAGCGTTTTTTTTTTTTTTTTTTTTTTTTTTTTTTTGCAATTGCAGTTGAAAAAGCCAACGTTGCATGAATTAGTCACAGCGCAGAAGGCTGCCCGCACCTCTTCCCAAGCAGAGCACTGCAGTTGCGGCAGCAGCGGACCGTTGCATACTTTTGGGGGTATTTTAATTAGCGGCTACCCCACCCAGTGCGCGAAAGATCTTAATTAATGCCCAGATTGGCCCCTAAAAAGATTTACAGCTTCGCCATTTATTACGTCAAACAGCTGCGGAATAAACGAAATATTGTAAACTTTAATGATCAAAAGCAAAAAAAAAAAAAAAAATAAATAATAATAAATAAATAAAGTAAATAAATAATAATACAAAAAAAAAAAAAAACAATAAATAAATAAATAAGTAAACAAATAAAATACATGCAAATAAAGGAATATTGCTGATTAGCCAAATATTATATATATTGATTGTCATGTAAAATAAGACTGTAAATGGCTGGAGGAAAACACAACAACACCTTCACATACAACAGCAGCTAGGAAAATAAAGTCTATGCTAAGAAAACCTATTAGTTGCATGATATACGAAACCGTTAAGCCAGTGCTGTCGAACTATAAATTCAAATAGAGCAAACAGAGCAAAGTTTGGCAGTGCTGTTGAGAGGATGCAGTCAAGGCAGCCAAGTCATCAACATCTATTGGCCAAAGGGGACTCCACGAAGGCTGAGCTTGGGTGTGTGTTTGTGCGTGTGTGTGTGTGTGGGCCATCATCATTTTGAAAACCTTCGCAAATAATTTGAAAAATCAACATTGAAATTCAGACGGAGCGTCTCGTCGCTAGTCTAGCGAAGAAGCCAAAGTAGACTTCAAATCTTCTTCTTCTGCTGCTGCTGCTGCTGCGGCGTCTTGTGTTTAGCCTTGAATATTTGTCGCTAAAGTCAGATTTAGAAAACACACTTTTGCCATTTTCGAAAATCACACTTGAATTCGCTGTCGTTGTCGTGGCAGTTGTTTGTGTGCTTTGTTGCTACTTGAGCACTGGAGTAGATGAAAGGCTTTCGGCATTGGCATTGCGTAGACTTGAGTGTGGGGCTCACAGGTTCATAGTTCAGGGAGCGGGTAGCGGGTAACGGGTAGCCGCCTGCTTGTTGTTTATTTATCGCAGCGTGTGCGGCTTTTTTACT